GGGTTTCTCCATATTGCTCAGTCTGGTCTTGAACTCCTGACCTGAGGTGATTTGCCTCCCTCGGCCTCCCAAAGTTCTGGGATTACAGGTGTGAGCTGCTGTGACCGACCTAATTTTTTTTTTGTGTGTATTTTTAGTAGAGACAGGGTTTTGCTATGTTAGCCAGGCTGGTCTCAAACTCTTGACCTCAAGTGATCTGCCTGCCTCAGCCTCCCAAAGTGCTAGGATTACAGGCATGAGACACTGTGCTTGGCCTATTTTATTTTATTTTTTTGAGACAGAGTCTCACTCTGTCGCCAGGCGCCAGGCTGGAGTGCAGTGGGGCAATCTCGGCTCACTGTAACCTCTGCCTCCCGGGTTCAAGCCATTCTCCTGCCTCAGCCTCCTGAGTAGCTGGGGCTACGGGCACACACCACCACGCCCAGCTACTTTTTGTATTTTTAGTAGAGATGGGGTTTCACCATGTTGACCAGGATGGTCTCGATCTCTTGACCTCGTGATCCGCCTGCCTCGGCCTCCCAAAGTGCTGTGATTACAGGCATGAGCCACCAAGCCTGGCTTCCTAATTTATTCTTAAATCAGTGCCCATCTTAGAGTTTACAGTCTGGTGTAACAAAGAGACAGAAAACAAAGAAGTAAAATATACTTTGTACATTGTAGCAGGTACTCTGGAGTCAAAGGCAGAGACGGGCTGGGCACGGTGCTCAGCACTCTCTGTGTAATCCCAGCACTCTGCGAGGCTGAGGCGGGTGTATCACTTGAGGTCAGGAGTTCAAGACTAGCCTGGCCAACATGGTGAAACCCTGACTTTACAAAAAATATTTGCTGGGCAGGATGGCATGTGGCTGTAATCCCAGCTAGTCAGGAGGCTGAGGCGGGAGAATTGCTTGAATTTGGGAGGTAGAGATTGCAGTGAGCTAAGATCCCGCCATTGCACTCCAGCCTGGGTGACAGCAAGACTCCGTCTCAAAAATAAATAAATATATAAATAAATAAAAAGAGAGGGCTGGGTGTGGTGGCTCACAACTGTAATCCCAGCACTTTGGGAGGCAGAGGTGGGTGGATCACCAGGTTAGGAGTTCAAGACCAGCCTGGCCAACATGGTGAAACATCGTCTCTACTAAAAATACAAAGGTTAGCTGGGAGTAGTGATGTGCACCTGTAATCCCAGCTACTTGGGAGGCTGAGGCAGGAGAATCACTTGAACCTGGGAGGCAGAGTTTGCAGTGAGCTGAAATCACACCACTGCACTTGGGTGATGGAGCGAGACTCTGTCTCAGAAAAAAAAAGAAGGCAGAGACAGGTCAGGGAGTACTGAGGAGGGTGCAGCTTGCAATTTTATTTATTTTTAAAATAGACACGAAGACTCACTATGTTGCCCATTCTGGTCTTGAACTCCTGACCTTAAGTGATTCTTCCACCTAAGCCTTCCAAAGTGCTGGGATTACAGGCGTGAGCCACCACATCTAGCCCAATTTGCAATTTTAGAAAGGGGTCAGTGTAGAAGCCTCTGAGAAGGTGACACTTGAGTCAAGACCTTAACAGGTGAGGGAGCCCGAAAGGCTGATAGCTGAGGGAAAAGTGCTTTGGGCAGAAGAGACAGCAGATGCCAAGGCTGGCAGTGGGGTGACCTGCTGCACTCAAGGAAAAGTAAGATGGTCGGGGCGACCGCACAGCTTGAATAGAAGAATGTGAGGTCAGAAGAGCTGGTGCCAGGCATGTAGGAGCTTCTTGGCCACTGAAAGGCCTCTGGGCCAGGTGTGGTGGCTCAAGCCTGTAATCCCAGCACTTTGGGAGGCCAAGGCTGGCGGAACACCTGAGGTTGGGAGTTCGAGACCAGCCTGACTAACATGGAGAAATTTCATCTCTACTAAAAATACAAAATTAGCTAGGTGTGGTGGTGCATGCCACACAGCTAGCAATCCCAGCTACTCAGGAGGTGGAGGCAGAAGAATTGCTTGAACCTGTCAGGCAGAGGTTGCAGTGAGCTGAGATCGTGCCACTGCACTCCAGCCTGGGCAATGGATCAAGACTCTGTCTTAAAAAAAGAAAGGCCTCTGGCTTTGGCTCTAAGTGAGACAGGAACCCTTGCAGGATTTTGAGTAGATGCATGACCTGAGTTGACTTAGGCTTTGAAAGAATTGTTTTGGGCCAGATGTGGTGGCTTATACCTGTAATCCCAGCACTTTGGGAGGCAGAGGGGAGAGGATTCCTTGAGGTCAGGAGTTTTGAGACCAGCCTGGGCAACATAGCAAGACCCCATCTCTACTAAATTTTTTTCTAATGACCCTTGCTTGGTGGTGTGTCCCTGTAGTCTGAGTTACTCAAGCTCAGGAGTCTGAATGGGAGGATCACTTGAGCCCAGGAGTTTGAGGCTGCAGTGAGCTATGATTGCAGCACTGCACTGCCACCCAAGTGACAGAGCAAGACTGTCTCAAAAAATAGTTTTTTTTTTTTGAGATGTAGTTTCGCTCTTATTGCCCAGGCTGGAGTGCAATGGCATGATCTCTGCTCACCGCAACCTCTGCCTCCCAGGTTCAAACAATTCTCCTGCCGCACCCTCCCAGGTAGCTGGGACTACAGACATGCGCCAACACACCCAGCTAATTTTGTATTTTTAGTAGAGATGGGGTTTCTTCATGTTGGCCAGGCTGGTCTCAAACTCCTGACCTCAGGTAATCCGCCTGCCTTGGCCTCCCAAAATGCAGGGATTACAGGCATGAGCCACCATGCTCAGCAAAAATAAAAATAAAAAATTTAATTAAAAAAGAAAGGATTGAGGTCAGGTGAGGTGGCTCAGTCCACAGGCCTGAATGGTGGGGTTGACTGACTTTTAGAGGCCAGAGACCTGAGGAAAAACCAGCAATGGATACTTTTGTTGAGTGAAGTAATGAATGAATGGATGGATGGATAGATGGCTGGGTGGATGGATAGATGCATGGGCAGATGGATGGGTGGGTGGATGGATGAATGGATAGATGGCTGGGCAGATGGATGGGTGGGTGGGTGGGTGGATGGATGGATGGATGGATGGATGGATAGATGGCTGGGTGGATGGATGAGTGGGTGGATAGCTGGGTGGATGGATGGATGGATGTGTGGATAGATGGGATGGTTGGATGGATGAATGAATGGGTGGTGAGTGTATGGATGGACAGATAGGTGGATGGGTGGAAGGGTGGATGGGTAGATGGATGGGTGGATAAGTGTATGGATGGAAGGATGGACGGATGGATCGATGTGTGGATGGGTGGATGGGTGGTTGGGTAGATGGGTAGATGGATGGTCAGGTGGATGAATAGGTGGGTGGATGTGTGAATAGATGAATATATGGGTGGAAGGGTGTTTGGGTAGATGGAATGGTGGATGAGTGTATGGATGGACAGATGGGTGGGTAGATAGACGGTTGGATGGGTAGATGGATGGGTGGGTAAATGGGTGGATGAATGGACAGGTGGATGAACAGGTGGGTGGATGAGTGCATGGATGGATGGATGGGTGGGTGGGTGGATGGGTGGATGGATGGGTGGATGGATGGGTGGATGGGTGGATGGATGGGTGGATGGATGGGTGGATGGGTGGATGGATGGGTGGAAGGGTAGATGGGTAGATGGACAGGTGGCTGAGTGTATGTATGGTGGGTGGGTGGGTGGATGGCTGGGTAGATGGATGGGTAGATGGATGGGTAGATGGATGGGTGGGTGGATGGATGGGTGGATGGGTGGGTGGGTGGATGGGTGGATGGATGGGTAGATGGATGGGTGGATGGGTGGATGGGTGGATGGATGGGTGGATGGGTGGATGGATAGCTCTCCTTTACTGCTAGTCTAGGGCAGGCTGTGTCGCCCCTCCCAGGACCATTACAGCAACCCTCTGTGCATCTCCTTGTACCACACCCATCACCCCCTCTGATCCATCCATCAGTCCTCAGTGCTGCCCTCTCCTGCCAGACATTCTGGCTGTCCCGTCCTCCACCTGAAAGGCTTCTTCTCTGTTCTATTCTTTGCCTGGTAAAATGTTTTTGCCCTTTACTGTCCTCTGGGAAGTGCTCCCTGAGCACTACCCTCCACCAGCTTTCTCTTTCCCTCCCAGCTCCTTCTGGCACCGCAAAGGTCCTTGTGTGCAAACCTATAGATGCTCCAGTCTGCACGGTGAGCCCCATCCACGCTCCCCATGAACAGCTCTGTTGCCACGTTTCTGGCTTAGAGGTGTGCACACTCAGCACAGGGACTCCCTCTCAGGAGGATGGCGCAGGCCTGAGGCTGTGAGTCCTGGAAGAGGGCTTGGTGGTTGGGGAGGGAAGTCCAGTATCTGGTACCCAGAGTGTGGTCTAGAGCTGGGGATGTGGGCTGCAGGTGAGCACGTTCCCAGGCCCCATGGATTTCTGGCCTCAAAGGGAGGAAGGGTCAGAATGGGAATGGGAACATCTGCATAAGGGTGGAGCTGAGCCTGCGCTTCTCAAAGAAGCCAAATGATGCCTTAATGAGCCACACACGAGAGTGGGTCTTCCTTAGAGGGGACCATTTCAGAGGAAAATGATTACCCTTGACTGTCTTCTGAGTTTTCTTAGGTCAGCCATCTTTCCTCTCTGTCTCTGTCTCTCTCTGTTGAGACAAGGTCTTGCTGTCTCACCCAGGCTGGAGTGCAGTGACACAATCATAACTCACAGCCTCCTCGAACTTCCGGGCTCAAGTGATCCTCCCACCCCAGCCTCCCGAGTAGCTGGGACCACAGGCATAAGCCACCACTCTTGGGTAATTTTTTTTTGTAGAGATATGGGTCTCACTATATTGCCCAGTTGGTCTCAAACTCCTGGCCTCATTGTTAAAGAACAAGCCAAACTTGGAGAAAGATGGATGCCCCAGAAGCCAGCAGCAGGGACTTCTGGTTGGGAACCTTTCAAATACACTGTGGGAGGTTCCTGGAAGCAGAGCCCTGATCCACCTGCAGGCCGGGGAGTTGAAGGCAGATGAAATCATATAAAGAAACCCAAGACACGCTTTCCTTCAAGGGTTTTCATTTATTAGTCTTTTCTGAAGCAGTTAATTCTCTTTTCTTATTAAAAAAAAAGATGTGTTTCATCCAGAGTTATATCAGAGTGATTAAAATGATTTTTCTACTGAGGATACAGCTCCCCGGATCAGAAAAAAAAAATTCTCTTTTTTTCAATGAACCACAAAAATAAAACCAAAAGAGAACATCAACAATCAAAAATAATCCCCGAATATCCAGGACAAAAAATAAAATATTTATTGATCTATCACAGCGAGACACAAAAAGATGGGCAGGGCAGGGGTGGGAACTGCTTTGACGTCCAGTGGACCGAGGGAGGGATGGGGGGATACAGTACTGCATGTGGGACACCTCGGGTGAAAAGGAGATGCCTGGCACCCCAGTCTGCACAGCCCCACACGCCCTGGGGGAGTGTCGGATGGGGGGTGGAGGCAGGGCACAGGCTGCCACGACAGGTCAACTAGGTTGATGGCGGGTGCACCCAGCCAGCCAGTGGTGCCGGGCGGTCAACTGGGGACATGGGTGGACGGACGGATGGACGGATGGGTGGATGGATTCTCCAAGAGCAAGGTGGCTGTTCCCAGTGTGGGGTGGTTTTCCAACCCAAAGGCACCCCAGATGTGGGGAACAGCGATCGGTGGGGAGGAGATGGCCAAGTGGACTGAGGAGAGGAGGATGCTATGAGCAAATCCAGCTTTGAGGCTTCAGGTGCTTGGGTACCAACTGGATGGCAGCCAAGGGTGGGTCCTGGTGGGCAGGGGGAGCTGGGACTGCCCAGGAAGTATCTGCACCATCTTTAGAGGAGCCCCTGGGGAGGGGGTTCCCCGAGGGGCCACCCTTCCCTCCTCCCTCCCCCCAGGAAGATGAGAGCACCAGCATGTAGCACCAAGTTCCCCTGGAGATGGAGGCTGTATGGAGGGGGAGCTCCTAGGTGGGAAGGGATGGGCCAGGGGCCAGGACCATACACCCCCTGCCTCCGAAGTGGGGACTCCCGGTTGGAGCACTTGGCCACTCCCTTCTTTTTCCTTGCCCTGTGGATCTGCAAGGCCGCCCGGCCTGCCCGTTCCCTCCTGGGGTGGGGAGTCGGCGGGGCATGGGATAGGGTCACAAAGGGTTTACATTCTCCACCAAGCAGTAGCACCAACGTTGATGAGGTCGTGAGTCAGGGGTCCCGGGAAGCTCATTTTCTCTTCCGGCCGCAAGCTTTCCCCAGGCAGGCCCCAGCTGGACGGGAGGAGGGGCACGTCACTGGGAACCTGGCCCTTCTCAGGGGCGGCTCTAATCCCCACCTGCTCTGACCCACTCAGACAGAGGCTCCAAGAAGCCACGAGAAGCCAAGCTGTATCCCCAGGCCAAACTCAGACCTGACCCATGACATCAACTTCCACTGGGCAGATGGGGCCGGGAGAAGCCCCCAAGACATAACTTGGATGAGGCCGGGTGAGGCGGGCCGCACCTGTAATCCCAGCACCTTGGGAGGCCAAGGCAAGTGGATCACGAGGTCAGGAGTTCGAGACCAGCCTGGCCAACACGGTGAAACCCCGTCTCTACTAAAAATGCAAAAATTAGCCAGGTGTGGTGGTGCACGCCTGTAATCCAGCTTCTCAGGAGGCTGAGGCAGGAGAATTGCTCGAACCTGGTAGGCAGAGGTTGCAGTGAGCAGAGATCGTGCCATTGCACTCCAGCCTGGCGACAGAGGGAGTCTCCAACTCAAAACAAAACAAAACGAAAAAGATACTACTTGGATGAAACCAGCGCTAGCAGAAAGGGGGCAGGTCCTGGGGTCTGCCTGGGAACCACTGGGCCTGGACAGGGTGTGTGTACCGGCTCCACTGCTCCGAGAAGCCTTTCGAGGAAAAGCCAAGAGCAGCTCCATCAAGGAAGCTGGGGTGAAGGGAGAGTCAGTGTCTGCAGGTATGGCCCTCTCAGGGAGTGGGGTGGATCCATACAGCTGAGAGGGCGTCAGATAAGTAAACTGAGGCCCAGTAGAGGGAGAGAGGGTCTTATCCACAAAGTGTCTGAGCTGGGACTCGAACCCAGGATTCCTACCCTCTCCTGGGAATGGTCTGATGGGTGAACCCCGTTTCAAGGCATCAGTCTGCGTTAGGTAAGGCACCACTGTCTAGTACCTGGGCCTGGTGTAGGTCCTACCCCGGCTAGACCCAGATGTAGCTCTTTCCTGCCACCTGGTGGCAGCAAGCAGAGAGTAGGGCAGGAACAGACATCTGCCTCTGTTCGTTTTCATTTTCGTTTTTTTGAGACGGAGTCTTGCTCTGTCCTCCCCCAGGCTGGAGGGCAGTGGCACAATCTCAGCTCACCCCAACCTCTGCCTCCTGAGTTCAAGCGATTCTCCTGCCTCAGCCTCTAGAGTAGCTGGGATTACAGGCGTGCACCACCACACCAGGCTAATTTTTGTATTTTTAGTAGAGATAGGGTTTCTCCATATTGGTCAGTCTGCTCTTGAACTCCAGACCTCAGGTGATTTGCCTCCCTCCGCCTTCCAAAGTGCTGGGATTACAGGTGTGAGCCGCCACACCCGGCCCTGTCTCTAAAGTTTGTCCCCTTGTTTGGGAGATGACGCCATGGTAGGTTCACAAGCAAGACTGGTGTCTGGTTGAAAATTGGGCACCCTGCAAAGGGTCAGTTTGGTCTTGCCTCTCCCCCCACCCCTGGCCTCAGCTGTCTCATCTGTGCAGTGGGGAGCATGGCTGCGTGGAAGGAAATTCACAGTCCTGAGTAACCACAGGGGCACAGCTGTGGATTCTCTGGGACTCTTTCTGGTATCACATGGAGGGACCTTGTGGGGGAGTGAGAGAACCACCCACAGCCTACCCAGAGGTGAATCGACATATTTTTTGGGGGGGCGGGGATGGGATCTTGCTCTATTGCCCAGGCTGCCATGTGATGGCGTGATCACAGCTCACTGCAGCCTTGAACTCTTGGGCTCAAGCAATCTTCTCACCTCAGCCTCTGGAGGAGCTGAGACTACGGATTCACAACACCACACCCAGCTAATTTTTAAAATTTTTGTAGACACAGGGTTTCACTTGTTGCCCAGTCTGGTCTCAAACTCCTGGGCTCAAGTGATCCTCCCGCCTCAGCCTCCCCAAGTGCTGGGATTACAGGCATGAGCCACCAGGCCCGGCCAGGTCTGCATCTTTAAGCAGGAATGTGGTTTAGCCCCAGGTGGTGGCCTCAGCCCTCCCTGCCCAGCCCAGGGCCACCTTGGACGCCCCCCATGGCCGACACACCCTCCGATTTCCCTGACTCTGTGGCTCCGGTGATCCCAGCCCTTCTCCCTCCCTGCCCCTCCAATCTTCTCCTTCTCTTTTCCAGCTGACTTTCTGTAGCTAAGGGACTTTGGGAGGGTGAGCTTGGAGGCCCCTGAGTCCACACTCAGCTCTGAATGTCTGCGTGGGAGGTAGGAGGGATGGGCGGCAGATATCCATCCTCCTTCTGTAACTTCCACGCTCCAGAAGCCAGGCTGGTGGACTATCCCTTCGTCTCTGTCTCTGCCCCTCCCGCCCTGCCTCTTTGTGGGGCTGAATCTCTACTCACCTTGGTATCCCAGGGCTCCCAGGGCCCCTCCATAGGGCTTGGGGGGTTTTCCTGTGGATGGGGAGGACAGGATGGAGGAGGCAGCCCAGCTTTCCTGCCTCTCCCAGCTGCTCCACCCTGCACCTGGCCTCCATTCTGTCTCAGCAGGTTCCAAAGGCCTTCCTGCCTCCAGCCTGCCCCTCAGCCCCACCCAGACAGGCTCCTTGTAAATCACAGATGCATCCGGTCTGTGGAGACCTGAGCGCCTCAGCAGGTGCCCAACCCAACCCCGCCCAGTCAGCCCAACCCATTTCTCAGTGTCAGCCTTGCCCATTTGACCACTCAGCTTCCCCTCCCAGCCCACCCTGCTTGTCCTGACCTTATTCTTCCCTTACACAGCCTATTTCTCTTTCCTTTTGAAATATTTTAGGCTGGGCACGGTGGCTCATGCCTGTAATCCCAGTACTTTGGGAGGCTGAGGCAGGTGAATCACCTGATGTCAGGAGTTAGAGACCAGCCTGACTAACATGGCGAAACCCCATTTCTACTAAAAGTATAAAACTTAGCCAGGTGTGGTGGCGGATGCCTGTAATCCCAGTTCCCTGGGAGGCTGAGACAGGAGAATCACTTGAACCCAGGAGGTAGAGGCTGCTGTGAGCCGAGATCACGCCACTGCACTCCAGTTTGGGCAACAGAGAAAGATTCCATCTCAAAAAAAAAAAGAAATATTTTGTACACATGGGGACTCGCTATGTTGCCCAGGCTGGTCTCAAACTCCTGACCTCAAGCGATCCTCCTGCCTCAGACTCCCAAAGTGCTGGGATTGCAGGCGTGAGCCACTGCGTCAGCCTATTTCCCTTTCTACAGAACTTTGTCAATCTCTGCAGTCAGACAGTAAACTCTGGGGTGACTCAGGTCCCTGTCTGGCTCTGGGTGCCTCGTCAAAGGGCAGGCCAGGAGTCCCGGGAATCAGGATCCCTGGCTCTGTCTCTCCCAGACCAGCGCTGGAGTTCCAGCTTCCATGATTCCCCTGGGGGCTCCCTGAAGCCCTCACACCAGAGTGCCAGCCCAGAACGCCACCCTATGAAAGGAGCTCAGGGACCCTCCTAGAAATGGGCCCACCAGGCATCAGGTGATTTCTTGTTGCAGACTCACCACCAACTCCCAAGCCCCCGGCGCCGCCACCTGCAAGGCAAAGAGAGGGGCTGTGATAGTGCCCGCTTCTGGGGAGCCCGCTGAGCCTTCACGCGAAGCATGGATTCAGCTGGAGGCGGGGGTTGGGGGCATTGTGGGCTGCAAGATGCCAAGTTCTGGGCTTGGGTGCCAGGAGCCCTGGGTTCTGCCTCTGCTCACTGTGTGATCTTGGAGCTGTCCCTGGCACTCTCTGAGCCTCAGTTTCCCCCCTTTGCAACATGGTAGAAAAGCTCTCTCTCTTCCAGGGACCTTGAGGGGCATGAAATGTGTTTTGTTTTTTTCACTTTTGAAACAGAGTCTTGCTCTGTCACCCAGGCTGGAGTGCAGTGGTGCCATCTCAGCTCACTGCAACCTCCGCCTCCCAGATTCAAGCCGATTCTCCTGCCTCAGCTTCCGAGTAGCTAGGATTACAGGCATGAGCCACCACACCCAGCTAATTTTTGTATTTTTTTTTTTTTTTTTTTGAGACAGACTCTTGCTCTGTCACCAGGCGCCAGGCTGGAGTACGGGCACAATCTCGGCTCACCGCAACCTCTGCCTCCTGGGTTCAAGCAATTCTCCTGCCTCAGCCTCCCTAGTAGCTGGGACAATAGGCGCACGCCACCACGCCCAGCTAATTTTTGTATTTTTAGTAGAGACAGGGTTTCACCATGTTGGCCAGGATGGTCTCGATCTCTTGACCTTGTGATCTACCCACCTCGGCCTCCCAAAGTTCTGGGATTACAGGCGTGAGCCACCACTCCTGGGCCTGGAATGTGTTTTTAAAAAGCTGGCATTCCCTGTTTTTGTAAGAGGTCAGCAAGAAGGAGGGGAGGCTCTATATCTAGCTTGGGGTCTAGCCTCGTGTGACCTGAGGCTGTGGGATCCACCCCTAGGTGCTGGCTCAGTCCCTCCAAGCAGGAGATGATGTAGGAGAGGAGGGAGGAGGTGACTGGAGCTACAGGGCAGGTCCCGGGGGAGGCAACCTGGCGTACCTGGGAAAATGGGAGACAATCCAAAGCCGGGTCTTGCTGCCACTCCTACGGGAGAGATTTTGGATTGGTGGACCCGGCTCCAGACTCAGCAGCCCACCCTAGCCCCTCTGTCTGGGACCACCTCTTCTCTGTCCCCCCAACGATATCATTTTTTATATTTTATTTCATTATTTTTTTGAGACGGGATCTTGCTCTGTCACCCAGGCTGGAGTGCAGTGGCTCGATCTTGGCTCACTGCAACCTCTGCTTCCCTGGCTCTAGCTATTCTTCCGCCTCAGCCTCCTGAGTAGCTGGGGTTACAGGCAGCCCACCACACCCAGCTGATTTTTGTATTTTTTTTTTTTTTTTTTTTTTTTTAGTAGAGACCGGGTTTCACCATGTTGATCAGGCTTGTCTTAACTCCTGACCTCAAGAGATCCTCCGGCCTCAGCCTCCCAAAGTGCTGGGATTCCAGACATGAACCACCATGCCCATCCCGTCCCTGCCACTATAGCCAGAGTGGCTTTCTCAATATAACATGCCCCCACCTAGCAACCAGGTGTGGCCTCAGCCCTGAGCTCAGCCTGGCACTGTCCCCAACCTTTCAGCTTGCCCCTTTGCCCAGGAAATCTGTGGTCCTAGAGTACCCTCTCGAGCCCCTCTCTCCTGTCCTTGTGTGCTCACAGGCTCCAGGAGTCCCCACTGATAGACAGACAGGCCCCCTTTAGATCTGGGCAGAGCTGAGGATTACACAGCAGAGCTGGCTGCCCCTACCTCCAAGTGGGAACTGCCCGGCACCCCCTAGGACACCTCCAAGGCCAGCAGCACCTGAGAAGACGCAGGTGGGGTCAGGACAAGGTACACCCATCCGGAGGAGGCCCTGATATCCCTGCTGGGTTCTGGGGTAAGGAATGCCCTAGATAAGATCTTCAGGGGAAGGGGGAATCAGAGGGAGGCCTGAGCTGGGCTGGGGGAGGGTGGGGGAGGGCGGGGGAGGGCATGGCAGGGGGTGCAGGCCACGGGCAGGAAAGCATGGGGGGAACTCACCGTATTTAGCCGCTTTGGCGGCTACAGCTGGAGATACACCTGGGGAGATGAGGGACAGGAGAGCTCAGGAATGCCACCTCCCTGCCGGAGTCAGGCCCTGTCTTCTTCTTTTTTTTTTTTTTTTTTGTCTTGAGGCGGAGTCTTGCTCTGTCACCCAGGCTGGAGTGCAGTGGCACAATGTTGGCTCACTGCAACCTCCGCCTCCAAGTTTCAAGCGATTCTCCTGCCTCAGCCTCCCAAGTAGCTGGAATTACAGGTGCCTACCACCAGGCCCAGCTAATTTTTGTATTTTTGGTAGAGACAGGTTTCACCATGTTGGCCAGGCTGGTCTCGAACTCCTGACCTCAGGTGATCCACCCACCTTGGCCTCTCAAAGTGCTGGGATTACAGGCGTGAGCCACCGTGCCTGCCTGCGCCCTGTCTTCTGACGTACTCACCTTTTACCATCTGCTCATGGACTTACCCTCCCAGTATCTATTCCTCATCTCCCCTTCATCTAATCCAGGGTCTTGCCCTGTTGCCCAGGCTGGAAGGCAGTGGCTCAGTCATGGCTCACTGCAGCCAGGACCTCCTGGCTTCAAGTGATCCTCCTGCCTCAGCCTCCCAAGTAGCTGAAATTACAGGCACACATCATGCCTGGCTAATTTTTAAACATCGTGTGGAGATGGCAGGTAGGGGGGTGGTCTTGCTATATTGTCCAGGCTGGTCTTGAACTCCTGGCCTCAAGCAATCCACCCAATTCAGTCTCCCAAAGTGTTGAGATTACAGGCATGAGCCACAGTGCCCAGCCCCAAAAGTCTTACTTGTTTTTTTTTTTTTTTTTTTTTGAGATGGAGTTTTGCTCATGTTACCCAGGCTGGAGTTCAATGGCGCGATCTCGGCTCACCGCAACCTCCGCCTCCTGGGTTCAGGCAATTCTCCTGCCTCAGCCTCCTGAGTAGCTGGGATTATAGGCACGCGCCACCATGTCCAGCTAATTTTTGTATTTTTAGTAGAGATGGGGTTTCACCAGGTTGACCAGGATGGTCTCAATGTCTTGACCTCGTGATCCACCCGCCTCGGCCTCCCAAAGTGCTGGGATTACAGGCGTGAACCACTGAGCCTGGGCTAAGTCTTAATTGTTAAGCTCCTACTGTGTGTTTGGCCTCTGGCACTCACAGGAAGAGCTGTGCAGGCGGGTTTAGGGAGGAAGACACAGTGACAGCTTAACAGAGCGGCGCCATCTTGGCTCATCCCAACCTCTGCCTCCTGGGTTCAAGCGATTCTCCTGCTTCAGCCTCCAGAGTAGCTGGGACTACAGGCACGCACCACCACACCCGGCTAATTTTTGTGTTCACACCTATAATCCCAGCACTTTGGGAGGTTGAGGCGGGCTGATCCCCTGAGGTCTGGACTCAAGACCAGCCTGGCCAACATGGGCTCCAGTGATTCCACCAGTGTCTCTACTACAACTATAAAAATTAGCTGGGCGTGGTGACGCATGCCTGTAATCCCAGGTCCTCAGTGAACTGAGACAGGAGAATCGCTCAAGCCCAGGAGGCGACAAAGTTGACCACAATGGCGGAGTCTTAGGGAAAGCAATTTCTCTCCAAGTTTCGATTTCTTTCTTGGAGAATGGCATGACCATTGTTCTAATTGACTCCCACGGCAGTGGTCGGGGGTTGGAAGAGGGCGGGGGGGAGGACTGGGACCCTGGAGCTAACGGACAGCCCCAGCTCTTGTCTGCCACATTCCTTGTTTTTATTTTGCTTTGGGATCAGGTCTTGCTCTGTTGCCCAGGCTGGAGTGCAGTGGCACAATCTCAGCTCACTGCAGCCTCCATCTCCTGGGCTCAAGTGATCCTCTGGCCTCAGCCTCCTACCAAGCCCGGCTAATTTTTGTATTTTTGGTAGAGATGCGGCTTCGCCTTGTCGCCCAGGCTGGTCTCAAACTCCTGACCTCAAGTGATCCACCTGCCTTGGCCTACTAGGGTGCTGGGATTACAGGCGTGAGCTGCTACGCCTGGCCGAGAGGGACATCTTGAGCAAGGGTGTGGCGAGGCTGGGAAAGAAAGACTCTGTCTCCATCTGTGTCACACACAAACACACACACAGACACACACACACACAAACACACACAGACACACACACACAAACACAAGCACACACACAGACACAAACACACACAAACACACACCCCACACGCACTCACACACAAACACATACACACACACACACACCCCGCATGCACTCACAAACACACACACACCCCGCATGCACTCACAAACACAAACACACACACACCCCGCACTCACAAACACAAACACACACACCCCCCGCACGCACTCACACACAAACACACACACACCCTGCACGCACTCACACACGAACACACACACCCCACATGCACTCACACACACACACAAACACAAACACACACCCCGCACGCACTCACAAACACACAAACACACACACAAACACACACCCCGCATGCACTCACAAACACACAAACACACACACACCCCGCACGCACTCACACACACACACACAAACACACACCCCGCATGCACTCACAAACACACAAACACACACACACCCCGCACGCACTCACACACACACACAAACACACAAACACACACATAAACACACACACACACACCCCGCACGCACTCACTGATTTCGGAACAATGCTCACCTCCAAGGCCCCCAACACCTGGGACGACTCCGAGCCCTCCAACTCCGAGTCCTCCAGCACCAAGCCCAGCAGCTCCCGCCAGGCCTGCGGAGAGAGCTGAGCGTTAGACTCCGCTGGTCAGAAAGGGGCGACTGAAGCTCAGCCTGCGGAGGGTGGAGGTGTCCTCTGGGGACCCAGGTGGAGCCTGAGCTCTCCCGGCCTTCTATGGCACAGTGGGGCCAGGAGGTGCCTGGGGCAGGGGTCTGAGTCTACAGTGCCGGCTCGGAAGCTCCTCCCACACCCTGGGGACCTTGGGGGGGGGGGGCCTGGGGACAGCTCCCCACACCCAGCGCTCACCAAACTGGGCAGCTTTGGCAGCGGCTTTGGCTGCAGCCGCAGCGGCGGCGGGTCCGGTTCCTGGGGACACAGACCGAGCTCAGGGAGACTGTCCAGGTTACCTCCCTCCCCATCCAGCCCCTCCTGGTGTTCCGACTCACCCCCTACACCGCCTGGGATGCCCACTCCACCGAGAGCCCCGACCCCTCCAAGGGCCCCGGGCACGCCTGCTCCTGTGGGGAAGGAGGAAAGATGAGTCCCCCATTTCTGAAGGATGGGGTGTCCCTGCCCCAGGGACAGGTGCCAGGGGCATGTCCAGTCCTTGCTTTTGTTTCATTTTGGGATGGGGTCTTTCTCTGTCACCCAAGCTGGAGTGCGGTGGTACTCATAGCTCACTGCAGCCTCCCACTCCTGGGCTCACTCGATCCTCCCACCTCAGCCTCCTGGACTTAAAAGTTCTTTTGAAGGCCGATGTGGTGGCTCATGCCTGCAATCCCAGGACTTTGAGAGGCCGAGGCCAGTGGATCACTTGAGGTCAGGAGTTCGAGACCAGGCTGATCAACACGGTGAAACCCCATCTCTACTAAAAAATACAAAAATTATCTGGGCACGGTGGTGGGAGCCTATAATCCCAGCTACTCGGAAGGCTGGGGCTGGAGAATCGCATGAACCCAGGAGGTGGAGGCTGCAGTGAGCCAAGATCGCAACACTGCACTCCAGCCTGGGCGACAGAGAGCGAGACTCCACCAAAAAAAAAAAAAGCAGCAACGGTATCTACAGCAGGCGCTTACGGCTCTGAGTGCTTCACACTTGAGCAGCCCACTTTTTATGCGCGGCAGCAGGAAAGGCAGCTGCTCTTGTCATTCCCATTTTGCAGATGAGAACGCTGAGGCAGAGCAGAGGTTAAGCAAAGTGCTCAGGGCTTCCAGGCCGGGAAGTGGCTCTGCTCACCACATGACACCCCTCTGTTTCCCTGGCAATGTCTGTTGACTCAGCCCGGCCAAGCAGTCAGCAGTGAAGAGGGGAGGAGGCCTGGGCCGCTGGGGGTCCGGGTTGAGGAAGCCGGGATTTTCCGAGGTGGAAACTGGCCCCAAGTGGACCTGCCTGGCTGGTTGGTGGATCGCTGGTGGAGTCCCCTGCCTCCCCCCAACTCTGCTCACAGGAGGCCAGGAATGCAGAGGCCACAGACAGCATGGGTCTGGCCAGGCGGGGCTGCCAGAGTGCCAAGTGCAGAGGCTGTGGGACTGCCACGTCCTCTGGGCTGGCTCAGGGCAGGAACAGTCTTGCTGGCAGGATGGGAAGGCGGGCGGGGGCTGGGGGTGCCCAGATGAGGAACAGCAGCTCCTCTGCTAGGGCCAGAGAGCTGGGGTGGAGGCAGAGACTGCCTGGCCTCCTCATACCCACAGTGGGCCCAGCCTCTCCCTGGCCCCAGGGATCACAAAATTGTCAGAGTCAGAGGGCCTTAGGGCTGGTGGAATCCCCTCCTGGGGAGCAACTGGGATCTCGAGGGTGGTTTTGGTGGTCACAGGGGTTGAAGGCACCATAGACATTTAGTGGGCAGGGGCCAGGTTTTTAAACTGTCAAAAATGTGTCCTAGAACCCGCCTTTTTCTTTTCTCTCTCTCTCTTTCCTTCCTTTCTTCCTTTCCTTTCTTCCCTCCCTTCCCCCTCCCTTCCTTCCTTCCTTTTCTTTCCTTCCTTTCTTCCCTTCCTCCTTCCCTCCCTCCTTTCCTTCCTTCCTCTCTCTCTCTTTTTCTCTCTTTCATCTCACTCTGTCACCCAGGCTGGAGTGCAATGACCGTGATCTCAGCTCAATGCAGCCTCCATCTCCTGGGTTCAAGCAATTCTCCTGCCTCAGCCTCCCAAGTAGCTGGGACTACAGGTGCCCGCCAACAACACACCTGGCTGATTTTTGTATTTTTAGCAGAGACGGGTTTTCGCCACGTTGGCCAGGCTGGTCTCGAACTCCTGGCCTCAAGTGATCTCCCTGCCTCGGCCTCCCAAAGTGCTGGGATGGCAGCCACTGCGCCTGACCTGAAACTGCTTTTTTCTACCCTGTCAACCCCTGTCCTGTGCTGTCAGGGATGGCGTGGTGGCAAGGGAACCACAAGGGATTGTGGGGTGCACTCACCATATTTGGCTGCTTTAGCAGCGGCCAGGGATCCAGGTACTGGGGAGGAAGAAGAGTAGGGGGTGGTCAGCAGCTAAGCTCTGTGCCTGGGAGTTCTGCCGCTTCCTCTAGGGAGCCCTCTCTGATTTCCTTGGCCTCCATTGCTTTCTCAAAATCCTGAAGCTGTGCAGGCACAGAGCTCTAGTGCGGGACAGTGCCTCCACCTTCCATCTGCCCCCTCCTTCTCTCCCCAGGCCCAGCATGGCCTGCCTGAGGCTGGGCACAGAGCAGGGCTCAGTAAGTTCTTCACCACCTGGTGAAGAACTGGAGTTCCTAGCGGCCCCCTGGCCACAGACCACTGCCGAAGGGGAGCCAGGCTGATCTACCTGCTCCTTCCCTGGGTGGAGGGCGGGCTGTTTCTCGGTCTGGAACCCCGTCACCCCTCTACTGAGGAGGCAGATACTCTGCAATTTGGCAGCCTGGGGTCCCTTTGCCTGGTCTTCCCTCCTCCCGCAGTCTGTTACCCCCAGATGCTTAGGAGAACCTAAGGAGGAGTTTACTATGCACCCCCGGGTGGTGAGGGGGTGCTGGGGAGGTACTGGGAGGAGGAGGGGTTGCCTTCCCTGGGCTCAGGGGACAGGCTCCGCCTAGTCCCTAGAAGCCCCCTCACCCTCACCTGCCCCAAAGCCAGGCACACCAGCACCAACTCCAAGTCCAGGCACACCAGCACCAACTCCAAGTCCAGGCACACCAGCACCAACTCCAAGTCCAGGCACACCAGCACCAACTCCAAATCCAGGGACGCCGGCACCAAGCCCAGCTGCAGCTCCTGCAGACAGAGGGCAGTGTGGTGACAGCAGGCTGGGAACGCGTCGCTAGGGAGGTGTCCTGGCCAGGCAGTTGAGCCCAGTACCAAAGGAAGGGGCCCATCCAGATCTTAGCAGTGGCCTCCTCCCTGACCCTCTCTTCAGACTTGGCCTGCTTAATCCATCCTCTATGCAGTCGCTGGCTGGTTTTTCTTCTCTCTCTCTCTCTCTCGACAGGGTCTTGCTCTGCTGCCCAGGCTGGAGTGCAGTGGCACAATCGTGACTCACTGCAGCCTTGAACTCCCAGGCTCAAGCAATCCTCCCTCAGCCTCCTGGGTAGCTGGCATACACTACAGGTGTGTGCCACCATGCCTGGCTAATTTTATTATTATTTTTGAGATGGAGTTTCCCTCTTTTTGCCCAGTCTGGACTGCAATGGCGCGATCTTGGCTCACCGCAATCTCTGCCTCTTGGGTTTAAGTGATTCTCCTGCCTCAGCCTCCCAAGTAGGCTACCACGCCCAGCCAATTTTGTATTTTTAGTAGAGACGGGGTTTCTCCACGTTGGTCAGGCTGCTCCCGAACTCCCAACCTCAGGTGATCTGCCCGCCTCGGCCTCCCAAAGTGCTGGGATTACAGGCATGAGCCACCACACCTGGGCTACTGTTATTATTTTTGTAGAGACAGGGTCTCGCTATGTTGCCCACGCTGGTCGCAAACTCCTGGGCTCAAGCGATCTGCCTGCCTCATCCTCCCAAAGTGCTGGGATTATAGGCATGAGCCACATGCCCAGCCTGGGACTGGATTCTGTAAAACTCCCACTGACGCTCTAGTCCTGTTGGCTGGCATTCGGGACCAGCCCTGTGGGTGCCACTTCCCTTTCCAGCCTCACCTCCTGTTCTTCTCTCTTGGTTGATGTTCTTCTCTCTTGGTTTATTCTCCTAAAAGCCTTCTGTGGAAGGTGCTGCCTATACCCACACTTAACACGCAAGGACACAGTCACTCAGAGGTCCCTTAGCTAGTGTGGAGACCAGGACTTGAACCCAGGTCCTTCTCCAGCCAAATCTGCGCTTCTGACTCCTCTGCCCACTGCCCTGGGGATCTAAGAAGGCTGCAGGGCCCTGCCCTGGGCCTCATTCAGGCTTAGGAGCTGGCTTCCAGTCCCAAAGGAAGGCGCCCAGATCCAAGCAGTGGCCTCCTCCCTGGCCCTTGCCCCTAACTAGCCCTGGGCTTGTTGGGGAGAGGAGAGAAAGGTGGGCGAGGCACTCACGGAGCTGGGCTTTGGCAGCTGCCTTGGCAGCGGATTTTGCTGCAGCTGGGACTCCTGCGCCTGGAGGGAGAGAGAGGGGATTAGAGATGGAGATGGGACCCAAGGAGGCTTCAGGGGCCCCTCAGGATCATGGACTCATGCAGCTCACCTATAACTCCACCAGGGCCGATGCCAATGCCGGGAGCCACACCCACACCAGGTGCCACGCCCACACCGGGAGCCACGCCCACACCGGGAGCCACGCCCACACCAGGAGCCACGCCCACACCAGGAGCCACACCCACACCGGGAACCACGCCAGGAGCCACGCCGGGAGCCACACCGGGAGCCACGCCGGCACCAGGAACTAAGCCTGTAAGATGGAGAAGAGCCTGATGCAAGAGAACAGAGCTGATGAAAAGAGCTGGCACCTCGGCCTGGCAGAGACTTGCTGTGTGATCAGTTACTTTCCCTCGCTGGGCCTCAGCTTCCTCACCCCTAAGATGAAGTGTGCGCAGCAGGTTCAGGAGTTCCTTCTTTTTTTGGAGACAGGATCTCACTGTCGCCCAGGCTGGAGTGTAGTGGTACAATCTCAGCTCACTGCAACCACCACCTCCCAGGTTCAAGTGATTCTCCTGCCTCAGCCTCCCGAATAGCTGGGACTACAGGTGCGCACTATCATGCCCGGCTAATTTTTTTTTGTATTTTTAGTAGAGACAGGGTTTTGCCATGTTGGTCATGCTGGTCTTGAACTCCTAACCTTGGGTGATCCACCTGCCTCGGCCTCCCAAACTGCTGGGATTAGAGGTGTGAGCCACTGCACCTGGCCAGGAGTTCATCTTTTCAGTGACAAGGACTCCTTGGAGATTTGAGGGTGATAGAGGCAGAGTTACATTATATAAGAGGGTTTGCAAGACAGAAAGCCTTTGGGTTCAAATCTCAGCTCCGGCACCATTAAGCTGTGCAACTGCAGACAGATTACTTAAGCTCTGGGAACCTGCGTCTCCACAGCTGTCAAATGGGAAAAATGAAACCAACTCTATCAGATTGTTTGTAGGCTTGGCGAGGTGGCTCATGCCCGCCATCCAGCACTTTGAGAGGCCAACGTGGCAGGATCACCTACAATTTTTTTTTAAACTGGGCATGGTGGCATGTGCCCGTAGCCTCAGCTACTAGGGATGCTAACAGGGAAGAATTGCTGAAGCCAGGCGTTCGAGGCCCGCAGTGAGCCATGACGGCATCACAGCCTGGGCGATGTAGTGAGACCGTGTCTGAAATAAATAAAGATCGCTGTACGTGAGAATCTGGGGCTCCGCACACCTGCAGTTGAGATGCTCTCTGGACTACTCAGCCTTAGAGATTCTGATCTGAACCTTTCAGCTCACAGGTCTCTAAGGCCAAGGCCTACAGACCCCATGCCCAGGGCCTGACACACAGTTGGGCTCTACAATTGGTGCTGCCATAATTTGCCATGTTGAGAAAGGTGTAGGCACCTGGGGTTGCCAGGTGGCCCTCAGATGTAGCAAGAGCTCAGGAGCCAGAAATACTGCAGGCTGGACACAGGGACTCATGCCTGGAATCCCAGCACTGTGGGAGGCAGAGGCTGGAGGATCGCTTGAGCCCAGGAGTTTGAGACCAGCCTGGGCAACATAGTGAGACCCCTGTCTCTACAAAACAATAAAAAAATTAGCCAGGCTTGGTGGTGGGCACCTGTGGTTCCAGCTACTTGGGAGGCTGAGGCAGGCAGATTCCTTGAGCCTGGGAGGTCAAGGCTGCAGTTGGCTAGATGATTGTGCCACTGTACCCCAGCCTGGGGGACAGAGCCACACCCTATCTCAACAAGAAGAAGAAGGAGAAGGAGGAGGAGGAGAAGAAAGAAGAAGGAAGAAGAAAAGGAGGAGGAGGAGGGAGGGGGAATGGGAAGAAGGAACAGAAGGAGGAGAACGAATGAGAAAGAGGAGAAGAACTGGAGTCCCTCATGGCGGCTGGAGCTCACGTGAGGTCAGGAGGGGTCAGGTCCCCACTAGACCGAGAGGCTCCCAGGACTTTGGGAACAGGGAGGCTTACACTGCTTCCCTCATCACAAATGTCACCACCACTCTTAGAGGTCGTTGGTGGGCCAAAAGCCCGAAGGAGGGCCCACCCCAGAACGTGACAGCCTGGGGAGGGGGTGGAAAGGAACAGGGAGCTGGGCAGTGAGACCCCAGAGCAGGGCACCTGAGAGAGCAGTGATCTGTGAGCGATGGCGGGTCAGGTGACTCACCAAACTGGGCAGCTTTGGCGGCTGCTTTGGCGGCTGCGGCAGCTGCTGGGGTCCCGACTCCTGGGGACGGGAAGAGAAGGGGTGAGGGAGCAGTCTGAGCACCCCTCCCTGCTTCCCGCCTCTAGGTCACTCTTCCTGTTTGTAAAATGGTGCAGTCAATCTTGGTCAACTCCAGGGACCCTTCCACGAGACAAACCAAACCCGTCTCTGGGCTGGAGACACCGCTCACCTGGCACTCCTCCCGTTCCCGGCACACCTGGTACGGCTACTCCGGCTCCTGGCACCAGCCCACCCAGCACTCCTGCTCCCCCAGCACCTGCGTGAGTGGAGAACTTTCAGCCTCGCTCCTCCCAGTGCTCACTTTTTGGGGGAACAAGGGTGAGTGGGAGAAGCTGGGGAAAGAGAATGGCTTCCTGGCACCTTCAATTCTTTTTTTTTTTTTTTTTTTGAGACGGAGTTTCGCTCTTGTTACCCAGGCTGGAGTGCAATGGCGCGATCTCGGCTCACCGCAACCTCCGCCTCCTGGGTTCAGGCAATTCTCCTGCCTCAGCCTCCTGAGTAGCTGGGATTACAGGCATGCGCCACCACGTCCAGCTAATTTTTTGTATTTTTAGTAGAGACGGGGTTTCACCATGTTCACCAGGATGGTCTCGATCTCTTGACCTTGTGATCCACCTGCCTCGGCCTCCCAAAGTGCTGGGATTACAGGCTTGAGCCACCATGCCTGGCCCTAATTCTTTTTATATTTTATTTTATTTTAATTTTTTTGAGACCGAGTCTTGCCCTGTCGCCCAGACTGGAGTGCAGTGGCATGATCTTGGCTCACCACAACCTCTGCCTCCCAGGTTCAAGCGATTCTCCTGCCTCAGCCTCCTGAGTAGCCAGGATTATAGGTGAACACCACCATGTCCGGCTAATTTTTGTATTCTTAGTAGATATGGGATTTCACCATGTTGGCCAGGCTGGTCTCGAACCCCTGGCCTCAGGGGATCCATCTGCCTTGGCCTCCCAAAGTACTGGGATTACAGGTGTGAGCCACCACACCCAGCCAGGAACACCTTCAATTCTGGGGGTGGGGGTAGGGGTGGGGTGATGAGCAGGTCACCAACAGTCCTAATACTGGGCATCTGAAAGTGACAGTAGAGTGGAGTGTGGCTTTGGAAGATGGGGCGGGGGTCTCATGACCTTGGCCCAGGCCATTCCGGTCCTGGAGGTGTGGGAGCCAGTTTGCCCTGAGGTTGGACTCTGGGCCCCGTGGGAGAGCAGGGCTTAGGGATGGGCAGGGCAGAGACACTCACCATACTTGGCAGCTTTGGCGGCAGCTGCTGCCTGGGCTTCAGCTGCAGGGAAACGAGAAAGATGGAGACCCTCAGAAGCCTTGCCTGGGTCTCCTCCGCGCCGTACTTAATGTTCTTCTGCCCTGCAAGGCACGGATGGCCTCCCTATCTTCTGCCCCAACCCCTCCCTGAGCAGGCTCAAGCCTGATCTACACTCTCCACTGACCGTGCACAGCCAGCAGAAGAGAAGCCCCCATCCCTTCTCAACGATGTCCCCAGATGTGACTAAGGCTCACGGGAAATGGCAGCTCCCGGGACAACTCCAACTCCAGGGACGCCTCCGACTCCGACACCAAAGCCGGGAAAGCCCCCAGCTCCAACCCCAAGAGTAGGAATGCCTCCAACTCCGACTCCGACCCCGGCCCCTGCAGAGGGAAGAGAATCAATTGGAAAAGCAGCTCAGTGAGAGAGGCTGGGCGGGCTCTGAGGCGTGCTGATGTCCTGGAAAAGAGGATACAAGCTTCCCCCAAGCCTTGTCCGTAAAAGACAGAAAACTGGAATGCATGGGTCCCCAGAAGCCTCCACCGTGAAGCCTTTAAAAAAAAAATTGGGGTGGGATGCAGTGGCTCATGCCTATAATTCCAGCACTTTGGGAGGCTGAGGCAGGCAGATCACCTGAGGTCAAGAGTTCGAGACCAGCTTGGCCAATATGGAGAAACTTCGACTCTACTAAAAAAACAAAAATTAGCTGGATGTGGTGGTGCATCCTTGTAATCCCAGCTACTCGGGAGGCTGAGGCAGGAGACTCACTTGGATCTGGAAGGCGGAGGTTGCAGTGAGCTGAGATCGCACCACTGCACTCCAGCCTGGTTGACAGAGCGAGACTCCAACTCAAAAAAAATTTTTTGGGAGTCCAAGACATAAAATTTTTACATTTTATGTAGACACAGGGTCTTGCTATTTTGCCCACACTGCTCTCTACTTCCTGGCCTCAAGCGATCCTGCTACACTGGCCTCCCAAAATGCTGGGATTACAGGTGAGAGCCACTGAGCCCAGCCCCACCATGAAGCCTGTACTGACACCCTTCAGTCCTCCTCCAGCCCCTCTCCTCTCTGAGCACTTGGGAAAGACCCTCTTTGTCGGATGCAGAGACTACTGGCAGAATCCACATCCCCAGGCAGTTTTGGGCTCCTCTGAGGGGGTCTTGGTGAGAGCAGGGTGGGTCAGGGTCACTGTCCCCACTGGGAATGCCATCCTGGGACTTAGCCCCATGGCCCTATGATGGGAGACAAATGAGGGAGACGTTGTCCTGAGACCTGCCAGTGACTTGCTGGGCGACCCTGAGCAAGTCACTCCCCTTCTCTGGGCAAGTAGAGGGGGGTCCTTTAGTTCTGGCAAGTAAAGGCCAGGACAGGGTGGGGCAGAGCTGTCCACGGCACTCACCATATTTGGCTGCCTTCGCAGCTGCAGCTGGTGACACAGCTCCTGGAGAGACTGAGAGGGACACGAATGCTCAGAGAGGTTGGAGGAGGGCTGCTCAGTATGTCTCCCTCTGTCTGCCCGTCTGTGTGTTAGGCCATCTTCTTTCACACCAACATGGAGTCGGCTACACATCCATTTATGCACCGAGGTCCACCCACCCGCCCATCTGTCTACCCAGCCACCTGCATCATCCATCTACCCAATGACCCACCTCTATACCTGTCCATTTGTCTGTCTATCCTTGGATCTCAATCCACCACCCAACCACCTAACTCTGTCCACTCATGCACTCATTTATCTACCAACTTATCCCATCTGCCTACCTAGCCATTCATGTAACCATTTAGCCAACCCTCCACTTTGTATTTACCTGCCCACCCTTCTACCATCCATCTATTCATCTGCTCATAAAATCATGTGCTCCTTCATCCATTCATTTATCCATTCATCCACCCATTCTTTCATCCAGCTTTCCATCTACCCATTCCCCCATCTATCTACCCATTTATCCATTCATTCTCCCATCCATCCCCCATCCACCCATCCATTGATCCATCCCCCATCCATCTACCCACACATCCACCCACCTACCCATCCATCCATCCATCCATCCATGCATCCATTCACTCACCCATCCATCCATCCATCACCCATCCATCTACCCACACATCTACCCACCTACCTATCCATCCACCCATTCATCCATCTACTCATCTATCCATCCATCCATGCATACATTCATTCACCCATCTAACCATCCACCCACCCACCCATTCATCCACCCACCTACCCGTCTATCCACCATAAACTGAGTACCTACTTAGCTAAGGGCTAGGAACATGGAGATGAAAAAGACACGGTTCCTGCCCCTGGGAGAACACTGATAGCCAGAAGGTTGATTGGAAAAGATGACACAGGTTAGGAGCTAGTTAGGAGATTGTGGGAGATTGTCATGGCTAAGGTAGAGAAGATGAGGGGATCAGGCACGGTCAAGGGTATAGGTACATTGTTGAGGTGTTAGGGAGAATGTAAAATGTTGGCAATAGTCTCAGTATTTCTCTTTTACACACACACACACACACACACACACACACACACACAGCCCAGCTCACCAACTCCTGGAACCCCAGCACCTGGGATCCCAGCGCCTGGGACACCTGGAATGCCAGCTCCTGGGACACCAACTACTCCTGGGCCAAAGCCTGGCCCACCAGGCACTAAGCCTGTAGGAGCTCCTGTGGAAGAAAAGGCATTGCTCTCCTGACCTATGGGTCCCTCGCAGGGGCTCCAAGGGTGGTTAGTGGAGTATGGAAGGACAGTTGGTCCTGATTGCAGGATTGCAGGGGGTGGACATTTCCTCTGCATGGACCCAACTCATCAGAGAGATTCGGAGAGACTGAGGGTCCCTGAAGAGAGCTCTAAGAGTTTGGATCTGTGGGCTGGAAGCAAAGTGATCGATTTCTCTTTCTCTCTCTTTCTTTCTTTCTCCCTTTTCTTTCTTTCTCTTTCTTTCTTTTTCTTTCCCTTCTTCCCTCCCTTCCTTCCTCTCTTCCTTCCTCCTTCCCGTCTCCCCTCCCTCCCTCCCTCCTTCCCCTTGTCTCCCCTCCCTCCTTCCCTCCCTCCTTCCCCTTGTCTCCCCTCCCTCCGTCCCTCCGTCCCTCCCTGCCTCCCTGCCTCCTTTCCTTCCTTCCTTCCTCTCTCTTTCCATTTTTTTGAACCAAATTCTCACGCACCCAGGCTGGACTGCAGTGGCATGATCATAGCTCACTGCAGCCTTGAACTACTGGGCTCAAGCGATCCTCCCACCTCAGCCTCGCAGGTAGCTGAGACCACAGGCATGTGCCACTATGGCTAGCTAATTTTTAAATAATTTTTGGAAAGATGGGGGTCTCAGTGTGTTTCTCAGGCTGGTCTCAAACTCCTGGTTTCAAGCAATCCTCCCTCCTCAGCCTCCCAAATTGTTGGGATTACTGGCATGAGCCACTGTACCTAGCTAGAATGTGATCTATTTCTAAGGTGCAGTCAGAATTCTCACCACTGGGCACCCATTTAGTTGATGCAGCAGATGCCTGTGGGCCGGCTCTGGAGGGGATGGAGTGGGAGCGGCCAGGTGTTCTGCTGGGTCCCCCCCTCTGCTGTGTTAATCAGGGCAAAACAATTGAGATGGCATCTTAGGTGGAGTGACCAGAAGGAGTGAAGGTAAGGAGGCATGAACACTGCATATTTGGGGAAGGACAAACACCCAGTCCCCCTGGCTTTAGGACTAGGGTCCCCAAGGTCCACCCAGGGGCCCGAGCCCTGGGCTTGCCGCCCCCGGAGGCACTCACCATATTTGGCTGCCTTAGCGGCGGCGGCTGCAGCAGCTGCGGCCGCAGCTGGGGTCCCAGCGCCTGAAAAGGCAGCCACAAAGGGTGAGGTCCTTGCCCTGTGGCCATCTCAAGGACACACCCACCCCCTGCTGGGTCAGGCGTTACCTGCGATGCCTCCAATCCCAGGAATTGCACCAGCTGCCCCAGGAACGCCGCCCCCTCCAATGCCAGGGAGGACTCCGGCTCCAGCACCTGTTGAGATGGGGCAGTGCAATGCAGTTTCCCAAAGACCGCCCTGGGGACAGGCAGGATGGCCGCTTAAATGCCAGCATTTTCACCGGCGCGATCTCATCCAGGAATGGGGCCCGGGTGTCTCCAGATGGACCTGTTTGAGAAGGTCCCCACCCCGCTCCGCTGTTCCTTGACTCATCCCCAAAGTGTCTGTTTCAACACGCTCATTAAGGGACTTGTATGTTTTCAGACAAATCCCATTCTAATGACTGCCACATACTGAGAAACCACAAGTGGCCGCTCCCCAGGCCAGAGGGGCCCCTGCAGGAATGTTCAAGACTTCCTCTCCCTGTGTTCCGAAGACGCAGCCAAGTTTGTAATCCAAGCGCCTGGCCGCTTGGCTCTGGCAGCCCCTTGCAGCCCCGCTCTCCCGTTCCCACATTCCAGCCGGCCCCACCAGCCGCTGGGGCCAAGGAGCCTTGGGTGCTGGGAGGGGGCCTGTGGGGCCTCTGGGGGGGCAGCTCCAGGCTTCTCCCCACATTCTCGCTCTCTTGGGCGGGTAGGGAGATAAGGAAAGGGCTTCCCTGGGGCGGAGGATAAAGGAGGACTTCAACCCTAGTGATCTGACCCTGAGCTGGGGACTACCTGGGGTGGGGGACAGACGCCCACTCCACCCACTACCTGGGGTGGGGGACAGACACCCACTCCACCCACTGCATGGGTACAGGAATGCCACGTTCCAGCTGCAGCCATGCTATCCAAGAGCTCACTGGCTTGAGCAGTGAGTTAACATTTTTATAGTACACATTAAATTAATACATAACTATTAAATGTTTTAAATGCTCATATATGCACCACCTAAAATGATCTTTCCAACCACCATGGTACCCATTCCCTCTGCTTGGCCTCCTCTTTCCTGTTTTAACCACATGGTAAGCTCCATCTATATTTTTAAAGCCTGAATCAAATGTCACTTTCTCTGGGAAGCCTTTCTAACTTTCCCAAGGTAGAAGGAATGCCTCCCATTATGAATGAATGGATGCATGGAGGAATGGATGGATGGGTGCATGAATGCATGGAGGAATGGATGGATAGATGGATGATTGGATGGAGGAATGAATGGATGGATGGAGGATGGATGGATCATGAGGAAATGGATGGATGGGTGGATGGGAGATGGAAGAATGGATGGATGAGTGGATGAATGATGGAAGAATGGATGGAAGGAGGGATACATGGGTGCATGGATGTGAGGAGGAATGGATGGATGGATGGATGTTTGGATGAAGGAATAAATGGATGGATGGAAGGATGGATGGATCATGGAGAAATGGATGAATGGGTGGATGGATAGATGGAGGAATGGATGGATGAGTGGATGGATGGATGGAAGAATAGTTGGAGGGAGGGATGGATGGGTACATGGATGCATGGAAGAATGAATGGATGGAAGAATGGATGCATCATGGAGGAATGGATGGATGGGTGCATGGAGGAGTGGGTGGAGGGATAGGTGAACACATGGAGGAATGGATGGATGGAGGCAAGGAAGAATGGGCAGATGGATGGATGGATGGAAGAATTGATGGAGGGATGGTGTGATGGATGGATGGATAGATGGATGAGTGCATGGATGGATAAAGGAATGGATGGAGGGATAGATGGATGCATGAAGGAATGGAAAGATGGGTGAATGGATACATGGAGGAATAGATGGATAGATGGTGGATGGATAGATGAATGGAGGGAGGGAGTGATAGATGGATGGATAGATGGGTGGATGGATAGATGCATGGAGGAATGGATGGATGAGTGGATAGATGGATGGAAGAATGGATGGAGGGAGGGAGGGATGAGTGGATAAATGAATGGATGAGTGGTTGGATAGATAGATGCTTGGAGGAATGGATGGGTGGATGGTTGGATGGATGAATGGAGGGAGGGAGTGATGGATGGGTGGATGAGTGGATGGATGGATAAATCGATGGATGGATGTAGTGGACAGATGGAATGATGGATGAATGCATGGAAAAATGGATGGATGGATGGATAGATGGATGCATGGAAGAATAGACAAATGAGTGGATAGATGGATGGAAGAATGGATGGAGGGAGGGACTGATGGATAAATGAATGGATGAGTGGTTGGGCAGATAGATGCATGGAGGAATAGATGAATGGATGGGTGGATGGATGAATGGAGGGAGGGAGTGATACATGGGTGGATGCGTGGATGGACAGATAAATGGATGGATGTGTGGACAGATGGGATGATGGATGAATGCATGGAAAAATGGATGGATGGATGGATGAGTGAATGGATGGATACATGTATGGGTAGATGAGTAGATGAATGAATGGATGAGTAGATGGATGGATGGATGAGTGGATGGATGGATAGATGGATGCATGGAAGAATAGACAAATGAGTGGATAGATGGATGGAAGAATGGATGGAGGGAGGGACTGATGGATAAATGAATGGATGAGTAGTTGGGCAGATAGATGCATGGAGGAATAGATGAATGGATGGGTGGATGGATGAATGGAGGGAGGGAGTGATACATGGGTGGATGCGTGGATGGACAGATAAATGGATGGATGTGTGGACAGATGGAATGATGGATGAATGCATGGAAAAATGGATGGATGGATGGATGAGTGAATGGATGGATATATGTATGGGTAGATGAGTAGATGAATGAATGGATGAGTAGATGGATGGATAGATGGATGCATGGAGGAATGAATGGAGGGAAGGAGGGATGAATGGATGAATGGATGAGTGGATGGATGAATGGATGGAGGGAGAGATAGATGGATGAATGAGTGGATGGATGGATGCATGGATGGGTAGATGAATGAATGGATGAGTGGATAGATGGATAGATGGATGCATGGAGGAATGAATGGAGGGAGGGAGGGATGAATGGATGAGCAGATAGATGAATGGATGGGTGGAGGGAGAGATGGATGGATGGATGAGTAGATGGATGGATGAGTGGATGGATGGATGAGTGGATGGATGCATGGATGGGTAGATGAATGAATGGATGAGTAGATGGATAGATAGATGGATGCATGGAGGAATGAATGGAGGGAGGGAGGGAGGGATGGATGGATGGATAGAGGGAGAGATGGATGAATGGATGGATGGATGGATAGATGGATGCATGGATGGGTAGATGAATAGATGAATGAATGGAGGAGTGGATGGATAGATGGATGCATGGGTGGGTAGATGAATAGATGAATGAATGGAGGAGTGGATGGATAGATGGATGCATAGAAGAATGGGAATGGAAGGAGGGAGGGATAGATGGAAGGATGTCTGGATGAGTAGAGATAGATGGATGCATAGAAGAATGGATGGAGGAGGGAAGGATGGAGAAAGCAATAGATGGATGGAAGGATGAATGGGTGCATGAAAGAATGGATGGAGGGAGGAATATATAGATGGGTGATGTTGAAAATCTTGAGTAAATGGGGGAAGTAGGGGCACTTTGTTCATCATCTGTGAGGCAGGCTTTCAACAGTAATGGGAATGGAGAGGCTGGGGGGCTGGAGGCCACCAGGCGGGGACCCCAAGGGCACTCACCAAACTTTGCTGCCTTAGCTGCTGCTGCTGCTGCTGCCTGAGGGCCAACCCCTGGGGGGAGGGAGCAGAGGGGAGAGACCCTCAAACAGTGCTCCTGTATCTCTAGAGCCCGCTTGTTCCCAGCCTGGAGAGCCACTCCACTGACATAGGGGTGTGAGTGGGGCTCACAGCAGGCAGAGGCTGATGGAGCTGCCCCACCCCTCCCCCAGGATCCTGTTCCAGGTTCGGACCAGGTTCTGGATGCAGGGTGGGCTGGCCTGCTTTTAGAGAGAACCTTGCCCACCCCAGGGCTCTGGAGCCCGCAAGATCAGGGCTCCCTCAGCCGGAAGTGAGGGGAGGCTTTGGTTACCTGTCCCTGTTGGGTAACCGGCCTTGCCAGCTGCACCAGCCACTCCACCAGGCCCATAGCCTGCAAAACAGAGAGGCTCGGGGGTCATCTGTGCAGACGTCACCACTGCTGGCCCTCCCCCTCTCCCTGCCCTGCCCTCGGGGCTCCGGCTGTGTTGAGTGTGCACCCTGTCACCCCCAGCCAGAGTGAAAACAAACACACATATGGAGTTGTTCCGCCCACTTTACAGATGAGGCACAGAGGCTCACAGAAGCAACACAGCTCACCTAAGGTCTCATTATTGATAGGTGGGAGGGCAGGGATGGAGACCAACCATGAGTCCAAATTCCATGCCCTTTCTTTCTGAGATTCCCAATCCAAGCCCCTAACCCTCCCCCAGTGAGGTGCTCTCCTGGCCCAGGGGATGGAAGCACAGTGCCTCTGCTAGAACCCTGGAGCGGGAAAGGGCTGGATAGGCCACAGTCTAGAAGGGTCTCACTCACCAAAGGGCAGTTTCCCGGTGCTGTAGGGAAGTCCATAGCCACCTGGGGAGAGGACATGGCAGACTCAGGAGTCGCCCCACGCCTTGCTGGGCTCTCACCGACCTGGGCGGACAGATCTGCCCCCACAAGTGCTGAGGCCTGAGACCCCTGCCCCCAGACCAGGGTCCTGAGCTGCTCCCAGGAGAGCAGAAGTGCTGGGTGGAGGAGGGAGAGGACACCTCTGCCCCCGGGCCCAATGGAACACCCGTCCCCCTACAAATTCAAGCCCCACCACGGCCCTGGAGTCTGAGTATCTTCCTGATGCCCCTCCTCAGTGGAAAGCATCTCACTGGCTAAGCTGATTGCGGAGGTAGGGGTGGGAGCAAGCAAGGGCGGGTGGATGTCAGAGGGACCTTTCCAGTAAACGGCATTCCTTTCCATCAGCTCAATGGCTTCAGATCGAGACTATGGGCCTCTGTGCATGAGTGTGCGTGTGTGAGTTCGATACCTACAGATGACTTCCCATGCTCTCCTTGGCTGGGGACCACATGGGGGCTTCAATACCCCTCCCCTGCCACCAGAGACGCCTGCACCCAGGCTGACTTCTCTGCAGGGAGGCTCAGTGAGTGGTGCATTATTTAGTTTTATTATTTTTTTTGGAGACAGAATCTCACTACGTCACCCAAGCTGGAGTGCAGTGGCGTGATCTCGGCTCACTGCAACCTCTGCCTCCTGGAGTCAAGTGATTCTCCCACCTCAGCCTCTCCAGTAGCTGGGATTACAGGCCTGTGCCACCACGCCTGGCTAATTTTTGTATTTTTAGTAGGGACGGGGTTTCGTCATGTTGACCAGGCTGGTCTCGAACTCCTGACCTCAAGTGATCCTCCCTCCTCGGCCTCCCAGAGTGCTGGGACTACAGTCATGAGCCATGGCGCCTGGCCGAGTGGTGCATTTTGAACCATCCCTCTGACTTACCGGGCAGCTTGGGGGCCTTGATAGGGTACCCCAGTGGGACTCCAGGTTGCTGTCCCGCAAAGGGTCCAACTCCTGTGGGAATACAGAGAGCCAGTTCAGGTCCAGGCAGCCCCTTCCAGACCTCTGCCACCCGCTCCACTTTCTGCTCAGACAGAAGGAACTTGCTACAGCTGCAGAAACCATCCTGTCTCCAGGGCCTCCCTGAATCTCCATCATGGGTCAGCTGAGAAATTCCCAGCAATAAACTACTTCCTCCAGGAAGCTGTGGGATTGCCTTTCTCCTGGGGTAGGTGAAGGGATAGATGGATGCATGGAGGAATGGGCAGATGGATAAATGGATGCATGGAGGAATCGATGGATAGATGGTGGATGGATGGATGAATAGATGGATGGAGGGAGAGATGGATGGATGAGTGAATGAATGGATGAGTGGATGGATGGATAGATGGATGCATAGAGGAATGGATGGAAGGAGGGAGGGATGGGCCCCAGTTCCGGCCTGCAGTTTGGGCCTGCAGCCCTTGGCACAGGCTGGCAGGTTTTCTGGGCTTCCTTGGGCTGCTGTGCTGGCAGGGGAAGCAGGCCTGGGATGGGTGCCACCTTGTGTTCCATCCACTGCAAGGCCTGGCGCAGCAGGCATGGGGGAAATCAGGCAGGCTTGCATGGGATCTTGGGTGCCCAAGATTTTGTATTATTAGTAGAGTCAGGGATTCACCATGTTGGTCAGGCTGACCTCAGGTGGTCTGCCCACCTCCCGAGGGCTCTCCCCGCCCAAGGCAAGAACCCCTGCCTGGCTGGCCACCCTGCCTCTCCCACCAGCCTTGCCTCACCTGGGATTCCAGCAAAAGCTCCAGCTCCGCCTGTAATGATAAAAGAGCTGTCACTGCAGCCCTGGTACAGTGGACAGCAGGCCAGACAGCACCGAGGGGCCAGGAGGCCCAAGGAATGGCCAGTTCTTCCCAGCCCAGTTGTCCCATGCTGCCCTCACATGCATTCTGGGGTTTCTTTTTTCAGAGATGGAGTTTCTCTCTTGTCGCCCAGGCTGGAGTGCAATGTCGTGATCTCAGCTCACTGCAACCTCCACCTCCCAGGTTCCAGCGATTCTCCTGCCTCAGACTCCCAAGTAGCTAGCTGGATTACAGGCACATGCTGCCATGCCCAGCTCATTTTTGTATTATTAGTAGAGACAGGGCTTCACGTTGGTCAGGCTGACCTCAGGTGATCTGCCCACCTTGGCCTCACAAAGTGCTGGGATTAAGGCATGAGCACCTGGCCCAGTCTTTTTTTTTCTTTGAGACAGAGTCTTGCTCTGTTGCCCAGGCTGGAATGCAGTGGTGCAATCTCAGCTCACTGCAACCTCTGCCTCCCGAATTCAAGTGATTCTCCTGCCTCAGCTTCCCAATTAGCTGGGACTACAGGCACATGCCACCACACCTGGCTAATTTTTGTATTTTTAGAAGTAATGAGGTTTTATCATGTTGGTCAGGCTGCTCTCAAACTTCTGACCTCAGGTGATCCGCCCACCTCGGCCTCCCAAAGTGCTGGGATTACAGGCATGAGCCACTGCATCTGGCCTTTTTTTTTCTTTTTTTATGGGGGGACAGGGTCTCTCTCTGTTGCCCAAACTGGAGTGCAGTAGTGAGAGTATAGCTCACAACAACCTTGATCTCCTGGGCTCAAGAGATCCTCCTGTCTCAGCGTCCTGAGTAGTTGGGACCACAGGTGTGTGTGACCATGTCTGGATAATTTTTTAATCGTGTTTTTGTGGAGAGAAGGTCTTGCTATGTTGCTCAGGCTGGTCTTGAACTCCTGGGCTCAAGCGATCCTCCCAGCTCACCCTCCCCAAACACTAGGATTACACACGTGAGCCAGCGCACCCAGCCACACTCTGGGGTTTCTCAGGAACATAAAAGGTGCCACCCAGAGGGCCCTGAGCCAGTCCAGGATCCCATCGCATTTCACACCCCGGCCCAGAAGGTGGTTGGAAAGTCCCCACCGTCAGCCCTCTGCCCAGACACCTGCATACCTGGAGCCTTGGGCTTGACTCCTGCTCCAGTAGGAACACCAGGGAGCACCCCCACACCGGGGAACCGAACTCCTACCGGGGAACAAAGCGGTGAGCAGAGAAAGGCAGGTCTTGCAGGCCCCGCCAGGAACCCCTCCCCTCCTTGGATCCCCCAGCTGACCTCCCTCGGGACCAACCGTCAGTGACAGGCACGGCTCTGGGGGGGCAGGTGGAGAAAGGACCTGTTTAGTGCTGACTTTCCTCCCCTGTCTGGCTCAAGGTCAGAAGATCTGAATGTTAATCCTATTTCCCAGCCATGTGAGCTCGTGCCTCAGTCAGCCTCATCTCTACTCGGAGTTAATCACAAAAGCCGTCCCGACCACCCTCCGCAGAAAAGGCCAAGCTGCCACTCATCCATAGACCAAGGAAGCCTGCGCTCTCTGGGGCTCTTGCCCACAGCCCAGGCCCCCAAAGCAGACATCCGGCTACAGCTGGGACCCATGCCAGCGTCTCCCACCTCTCCCGTCTCCCCTGGGGCTGCGCAGCCTTGGCTCTCGATGTAGCAGGGGAGAGAGGGAGGAAGGGCCACTCTGTCAGCAAATCCCACAGAAGAGCATAAATCTGGGCTTTTGGGGGAATTCAGGAGATCACATGTTGGGTGGGGTGGTCAGGCCCTGGTGGGGAAGGAGGGTGAGAGGCAGCTCTTCAGGGTCTCCTGCAGGGCAAGCTCACTGGGTGGCCCCCTGGTGACTCACAGCTTTTGGGAAGCAGCGGGTCACACTGGGGTCTGTCCTGGGGGGGGCCCGCCTAGGGCTGTGATGATGGTCTGGGCCTGGGATCAGGGTTTGGGTGGGGCACAGGAAGCCTGTTGACCTTTAGGGGATGGAGGGACTGCCATGGGACCTTATGCCTGTTAAGCCCTAGCGTTAGTGTCTGGGGAAATGGCCCAGGTCAGAACCCAGGTGTTCTGGTGGCTTCTGCTTTTCGGGGAGGCAGCGGGCATACTAGGTAGGCTGAGGGAGGCTGCTTTTCTTTTTTCTTTTGAGACAGAGTCTCACTCTTGTTGGCCAGGCTGGAGTGCAATGGCGTGATCTCGGCTCACTGCAACCTCCGCCTCCTGGGTTCAAGCGATTCTCCTGCCTCAGCCTCCCGAGTAGCTGGGACTACAGGCATGCGCCACCATGCACGGCCAATTTTTGTATTTTTAGTAGAGATGGGGTTTCTCCATGCTGGTCAGGCCGGTCTCGAACTCTTGACCTCAGGTGATCCGCCCGCCTCTGCCTCCCAAAGTGCTGGGATTATAGGCGTGAGTCACCGCGCCCGGCCTTCTTTTTCTTATTTTGAGACAGGGTCTTGCTCTGTCCCCCAGGCTGCAGTGCAGTGGCGCCATTATAGCTCACTGCAGCCTGGACCTCCTGGGCTCAAGCCATCCTCCCGCCTCAGTCTCCCAAAGTAATGGGATTACAGGTGTGAGCCACCGTGTCCAGGCTGCTTTCTTCCTATAGCGTCCCTATTTCCCTCCTTGCCCTCACCTGTGCCTGGGAGCACACCACCTGGGTATACACCTGGCAGCCCCACACCTGTGCCCAAAAGAAAACAAAGTCAGGAGCAGCCGCTCAGCCTCCAGGGACCCCCTCCCGGCCCTTCCCACCCAGGCAGCTCCAGGGCTCTCAAGCCAACAGCCCCTGTGCCCGACAGCGGCAGCCAGGGACAGACGTGGGGTGGCCACAACCCTCCTCCCACGAGTTTCGGAAGTCATTTGCAAACTCTTCGGTGTGTGGACTTCTCTCTGTCTCCTGGAGCCTATTTACATGGCTGGGCCAGCCCACCTCTGGTAACAGCTTCCAGATGTCCCTCCCTGCTGTGTAGACTCAAGTAGCCTTTTGTTTAACCTGAAGTCACTTCCTAAAGGGCTTGGTGAGGCACAATGAGTACCAGATGGGGAGTTAGAGGACACGGGGCTCCCCCAGCTCTGCCACGACTCCCTGCAAGCCCTTCCACACTGATTCGCCCCTTTGAGCCTCAATTTCCCCCTCTGTTGCCTGTCGAGACAGCCTGCCACAGAGCCTGTCTCTTTCTACCCTAAGATCCTGGGAGAAGGGCCTGGGAAGTAGGCCAGGCTCCTCCTCTCCGGTTCACAGAGGCAGGCACCACACTTTGGGCTTGGCTATTTTCTCTGCCCGGCTGGAGCCACACCCTGCCCTTCCTCCCCAAGCGCAGTGGTGTGGAGAGGGCTCTGTTCCTCCCTGCCCTCTGCCCCTCCCCGCCCTCTGTCTTCCAGCCCCAGGGATTCTGCACTGACCTGGCACTTTCCCCGGCTTCACTCCAGCTCCAGGCTGAGGAACCACTGCACCTGGTACAGACGGGGATGCATGAGAGCGGGCTCCACCCAGGCCTGCCACCTTGACCCAGGGAGCTCGGGAATAGCTGCTGTACCTGTAGACACTCCTAGGCCACCAACACCGGGAATGCCACCAACTCCTGGGACACCAAGCCCAGCGCCTGCAGAGCCAGGACAGGTGAGGCATTGCACGAGGAACAGCGGGGAGGCAGAAGGGCCCAGCATTGAGGTCTGCCCCGTTACCAACTTGCTTGTGGACTGGGCACAGCTAGATGCCCCGCTGAGCCCCACTAGATTAGACCTGACAATCCCACCCACCTGGCTCCCAGGCCTGGGTTGAGGGAAGGTTCTTTGCAAAGCAGAAGGCCCCATGGAAGCCAGAGGGCTTGTGGCATGTCCCCAAGGAGCACCACTCACCAGCCTTGGCAGCTTTATAGGCTGCAGCAGCGCCAGCCACTCCACCAGGCACCAGAGCCCCCGGAAAGGTCCCTGCAGGGAAGGTACCGAGCCCTGCAGAGGGGAGGATGGGATGAGGTCCTGAGCTACCGCACCCAGAGACTCCCATGCTCTGGCCCCACCTGGCCGTGCCCCGCTCAGGAAGCACATTGGAGCCTCCTCCGCTCTTAGCCAGACATTAATGCCTGCAGGACATCAATGTAACCACTGCTCACCAGGACTGGGTTGTTTTTTTTTGAGACAGGGTCTCACTCTGTCACTGAGGCTGGTATGCGGTGGTGTGATCTCGGCTCACTGTAGGCTTGACCTCCCAGGCTCAAGCAATCCTCCCATCTCAGCCTTTGGAGTAGCTGGGACTACAGTCGCATGACATTGTGCCTGGCTAATTTTTTTTTTTTTTTTTTTTGTATTTTTTGTAGTGACAGGGTTTCACCATGTTGCCCAGGTTGGTCTTGAACTCCCAGGCTCAAGCAATCTGCCCACCATGGCCTCCCAAAGTGCTAGGATTACAGGCACGGGCCACTGAACCCAAGCACAGGACTAGCTTCTGTGCTGAGGTTAATGTGTCAGATAGCTTTAACAAAACTGCATGGGTCTTTTTTTTGTTCACCTTTAGAGATGGGGTCTTGTGGCCGGGCACGTTGGCTCACCCCTATAATCCCAGCGCTTTGGGAGGCGGAGGTGAGCAGATCACTTGAGGCCGGAAGTTTGAGACCAGCCTGGTCAACATGATGAAACCCTATCTCTACTAAAAATACAAAAATTAGCTGAGCGTGGTGGCGCATGCCTGTAATTCCAGCTATTTGGGAGGTTGAGGCAGGAAAATCGCTTGAATGTGGGAGGTGGAGGTTGCAGCGAGTTGAGATGGAACCACTGAACTCAAGCCTGGGCGACAGAGCGGGACCCTGTCTCAGCAACAGCAACAAAAGAGGTGAAGTCTTGCTCTGTCGCCCAGGCTGGAGTGATCGTCTCGCCTCAGCCTTCCTGAAAACTGCATGGATCTTTTGGGGTTCAATTTCCCCACCCACCTCCTCTAGAATGCCTTCCTGAACCCCTGCTGAGTTAAGTGACTCCTCCGGGCTCACTCTGTTCATGGGGCTTTGTCCATAGAGCCTTCACCACTATGTTATAAACGACCCCAGGTACCCAGCTGTGATTTCCTCACATCCTGGGCAGATGCTTGGGACGGGCAGTATCAGCATCAGTCCCCATCAGTGCCCAGGAGAGAACCTGGCCTGTACCCCTGTCCACTGACTGTGCTCCATACTAGCCCTGGGTTGAGCTCAGGGGCTGGGCGGGGCAAGGGGCTTCTTGCCTGTGTGTCCGCACTCACCTGCCCCGGGGCCAATGCCTGCGAGCCCTCCAAGACCTGTGGAAAGGAAAGAAAGACAGGAGTGGAGGCAGCATTCCGAGGCCCAGAGTGGGAAGGGTCTGATGGAGTTAGGACAGTACTGTGGTCAGCCACCTGGGTCCCTAGGCTGCTCCCTGAGCCTGTGACGCTCAGGGGCAATCCTGATAAAATAGTGTAGTGAGCAGCTACTCTGCGCAGTGCAGGTGCGGTTACACCGATCCCTAACAAACCCAGGCCGGGCCTGTGCCTCTCCTAGAAGTCCTGCTGGCTAGCAGGATTCAGCAGGGCTTTCTGCAAGGGCCAGGGCTGAGCAGAGTCCATGAACGAAGCCTTACTCCCCTTCACCTGCATGGGGAACGCCTGTGTCCCCACCATCCGCCTGTCCTTCCATCCAGCCTGCCCTGCAGCTCAGGAGTCTCCTTGATCGGATGTTTACGAGACGCCAAATGGGTCCCTCTGGCTCTCTCCTCCCCACATCTGGGCCCAATCGCCTCATCTCCCGCTCCGGGAGACATTCCACTGGCCTGGGCCAGGACCAATGGGCCATCAGGTTGGAGTTCACAACCATGCCGGGTTTGCTTCTAATTATGTGACGACTTCTCCTACGAGAGCCAGTCCTGAGCCCCAGGGACGAGTCCTCTCCAGGGACGGATCCCAAACCTGGAGCCCGCTGTGCCGTGAAGAGGTGCTCCTCTGGCTTTCCCTGGGTGTGGTCTCCGTTATTAACCACTCCTCGTCCCCATTTCCTGCTAGTGGGACCTGGACCCCTCTGAGACTCAGCCAGCCTCATGCGAGATGGATCTCTGCCCCTGGGCGGGAGCGCCTGGTAATCAGGCAGGACTCAGTTCCCAGCACCCGGGCCCCTGCCCCACCAGCTTTGGCAGCTGCTTCTCTCAAGCCAGGCCTGTTTCCTGAGCTCAGAGAGGGCAACGGACAGGCTCGGATCTTTCCTTTCCACAGAGGCGCTGGGAGGGGAAGCTGAGGACTGAACAGGAAGTGAGAAGTGGCTGGGGCTGCAGGAGGGGACAGGCCGCCCCCTGCAGTCATCTACCCTTCTCCCCACAGTCCCAGCCTGCGCGTCCTGTCCTCTGGCCTGACCACTTCCACCCCTGCCTGCCCTCCTTCCTTTGCACTCACCTGCCCCAAATGCCCCAAGGAGTCCAGCACCTGGAAAGGAGGAGGAAGCGAGGAGGGGCCGACCACAGCTGGGAGTCCAGGGACCTGGCCAGCCCCGTCCTTCTTTCTGGAGTCAGAGAGTTCTTGGTTCAGACCCCACTGCTGCTACCTAGTCTCCACGAGCATGAGCAGGTCAATTTCCCTCTCTCATGAGGCTCAGCTTCCCCTGTCTACCAAATAGCTATTACATCGCCTGCTTTCCTGGGACCAGTGAGCATGTGCGCAGAAAGCACCTAGTGTGTGCAACCTACCCTGGGTGCACAGTGGGTGCTCCCAGCTCTTTCTCGTCCTTGCCCCTGCCCCTCTTGGTGGGCAGCTGGCCTCTGGCTAGGGCTCAGGGTGTGGGGCGTGCAGGCTCCCAGCTGCCTGGTTCCCCGCTGAGAACTGAGGCAGGGCGGGGCCAGCTTGGGCCTGAGGTGGTGCCCACGTGAAAAGCAGCTGCCAGGCCACCCACCCTCTATCACCAAGGGATTAATTGTTCCCAAGCATGACACGCGCTGCCTGAGCCCCTTTCCACCCTGCCTGGGCAGGCCCGGACGTCCCTGAAGCCCGGATGTGGGGGCCTCCCTGGGGGTGCCATGGGGATTCTGCCAACCCCTTTGTCATCCAGAGTCTTCGGGGAGGTCATGGAATCCAACCCCTTGCCTGGAAGGAAACAGTGCCCTTTTGATCAGAAGGCGATGCTCTGCCTTTCCATTGGATTGACTCCTTCACCCTGGGCTGGAAGTTCTTTCAGAAGTCTAACCTAAATCTTTCCTTAACAAAAGCTTTGCTTTTGCAGCTGTCCATCCTGGAGCTCTGTAGGGCGTTGTGTCTTTCTCCGGTATTTAACCACAACCTGCTGTGTGTCTCTTGCTGCCAGTGGGATCAGTGAATTCACCCTCCAGCTTTGCAGACACAGCCTCCACAATTTGGGTCTTCTAGGCCAAGCACAGTCCCACCTCCACACCTCTGAGCCACTCTTATCTTCCCTGTCCACTCTCCGCCATCAAAGACCCTGCCAAGACCCCTCACCCGCTCCAGGAAGACAGGGCATAGGTGTTGGCGGGGACAAGTGGCAACCCCCCAGGTCTCCTGGCCTTGCAGAGCCCCGTAGGCCCCAGGCACCCCATTCTCCTCCCACCTCTCCTGGCCCCAGCTCCGGCGTTTCACAACCCAGATGGACTTTCAGCACAGGGGAATCTGGGGCTTGAAGATTCATTTGCACTTGGATTATCAACGGTCGGGATTTCATAAGAGCTCTTGGACATCTAAACTGTGTCCCAGAACCACACAGCTCAGGGTGTGGGGCAGCCAAAGTCACATGTGGGGCATGTCACGCCGAGGGGCCATCAGTCTGGACGGAGACGCTGTTTCCTCCACCTGCTCCTTATCCACCAGTATTTCCCAGAGGGAAATACTGCCGCACCCTCCTTCCTGGGGGTGCATTCCCCAGAGCTGAGAGGGGATCCTGGTGGCAGATCCTTGGGTGAGGCTGGGATAGATCCGGCCACACCTTCTTACTGGAAATCTCCATGGTCTGGATACAGCTGGAAGGGGCCTGAGATCAGGAGGGGAGCTCATCTGGGGCCAGTGTCCGTGCTCAGCTTGGGCTGGGTAACAGGGCTTGGCCTGAGGCCAGGGATGGGGGTCGTGTGAGACCAGGAGCAACAGGATCAGGGTTCAACCTGGGGTGAGGCTCGGCTTGGGCTGGGGTCAGGCGTCAGCTTGAGAGCAGGAGAAGAGCTGAAGTCAGGAGAAGAGCTCAGAATGTCATCAAGGTCATGGCTATCTGGGGTGTTGGTCTGGGGTCAAGGGATAGGAGACCACTCAGGGGAAGTCTGGGTCTGAGGATCTGCGTCTGAGCCCCAGTGTCTTGTACAGGCTTGGAGCCCACTGGATCCAGATCAATCCCCCATGTTGCCTCTAGTACCGAGGCTGTCTCTGAGACAGCCTCTCCTTTGCAGAGGAGACTCTGCACAGCTGGGTGCACACACAGGTGTGTGTAAGGTACATGCAGGTGGAGCTGCCTCCAGCCTCCTGTTCCTGGAAGCCCTGGGACCTGGCCCCAGCAAGGGGGATGGAGAGGGAGGATTACAGGCATGCGCCACCATGACCGGCTAATTTTTGTATTTTTAGTAGAGACGGTGTTTTACCATATTGGCCAGGATGGTCTCGATCTCTTGACCTAGATCTCTGCTCATCCCTGGGACGCTAATCGGGGGCCACATCTCCTGGCTTCCTTATCCCGTTACCAGCTGGGTAGACCCCTCCCTCTCCAGCCCCCTTGCTTTCTCTCAATGCTCCGAGACCTTGGGTCTTACCTGGCTTGGGAGGTTTGACTCCAGGTCCCAGCGCTGTAGAGGGAAGAGAAGATAGTGAATGGGGAGGCCCAGCCCATCCATCTACCACTTATCCAACCCCCATCCCGGGCAAAGTGTGGGCAGTGTGGAATCTCATGCCCTGGGTCCTCCCCATCGGACGTGGAGGCCCTGGGAAGCTAGCTCTATTTCTAACGCGTGGTTTTTACTATCTGAGCCCCAGAGTCTTAGCCTCAAAAGGGGATGATGGGCTGGGGGCGGTGGCTCACACCTGTAATCCCAGCACTTTGGGAGGCCAAGGCAGGTGAGTCATCTGAGGTCAGGAGTTCTAGATCAGCCTGGCCAACATGGCAACACCTGTCTCTACTAAAAATACAAAAATTGGCCGGGCGTGGTGCCTGTAATCCCAGTTACTCGGGAGGCTGAGGCAGGAGAATCACCTGAACCCGGGAGGTGGAGGTTGCAGTGAGCCGAGATCTGCCATTGCACTCCAGCCTGGGCAACACTCTGTCTTAAAAGAAAAAAAGGATGATGGTGTCTGCCTAGCTGGCTTGGCAGGGAGGTTTTTGAGGATCAAAAGAAATAGAAAGGGGCCGGGCATAGTGGCTCACGCCTGTAATCCCAGCACTTTAGGAGGCTGAGGTGGATGAATCGCCTGAGGTCAGGAGTTTGAGACCAGCCTGGCCAACATGGTGAAACCCCGCCTCTACTAAAAATACAAAAATTAGCTGGGCATGGTGGCGTGCGCCTGTAGTCCTAGTTGGGAGGCCAAGAGAGCAGAATCACTTGAACCTGGGAGGTGGAGGCTGCAGTGAGCTGAGATCGCACCACTGCACTCCAGCCTGGGCGACAGAATGAGACTGTCTCGAATAAAAAAAGAAGAAATAGGAAGGCAGAGGCCACCAGGGATGAAGCCTACGGGAGGGACAGGGAAGGCCAGTGGATTCTGGTTCTCGGACAAGCCTCCTCCCCCCACCTGGATGCTGCCTGTGAAATGAGGGAGTCCTTGATGCATATGCCTTGGGATTCTTGGGTTTGAGGTGTGTGTGCTCGGGTGAGACCCAGACCCCTTCAGTGAAGAACAGGTGTGGTTTCTGAGCTCACCTCCTACTCCAAGGCCTCCGAGACCAGCCCCTGTTGGGGAAAGAGAGAGAGAGGGCATTAGTACTCCTGCCCGGCTAGCCCGCTCCCACCCCAGCCGTGGCTGACTCCACCCCTACCAAACTACTTGACCCTGGGGGAAACCCTGCCCTCTGCAAGCCTCCATTTCCTCTTCTGCTTGGCTAACAGCCTTGTGCCAGTTTGTATCTGGGGGGGGGCTGGTGTCTCCCCTACTTCCATGTCAGTTCTACACACTTAAATTATTTTTAAGTATTGGAAGTATTACTTTTGATTTTTCTTTTTCTTTCTTTTTTGAGACGGGGTCTCACTCTGTCACCAGGCTAGAGTGTAGTGGCATGATCTCAGCTCACCGCAACCTCCCCTTCTCCGGTTCAAGCGATTCTCCTGCCTCAGCCTGCTGAGTAGCTGGGATTACAGGCACGCGCCACCATGCCCTGCTAATTTTTGTATTTTTAGTAGAGATGGGGTTTCACCATGTTGACCAGGATGGTCTCGAACTCTTGACCTTGTTATCTGACCTCAGCCTCCCAGAATGCTTGGATTACAGGTGTGAGCCACTGTGCCTGGCCTCCTTTTTCTTTTTAGAGACAGGGTTTTACTGGCACCCAGACTTCATTCAGTGCACTGGTGCGACTAAAGCTCGCCGTAGCCTTGAACTCCTAAGCTCAGGTGATCCTCCCGCCTCAGCCTCCCCAGTAGCTGCACCACCATGTCCAGCTAAATTTTTTTTAATTTCTTTTTTTTTTTTTTGAGACGGAGTTTCGCTCTTGTTACCCAGGCTGGAGTGCAAAGGCGCGATCTCGGCTCACCGCAACCTCCGCCTCCTGCCTCAGCCTCCCGAGTAGCTGGGATTACAGGCACACGCCACCATGCCCAGCTAATTTTTTGTATTTTTAGTAGAGACGGGGTTTCACCATGTTGACCAGGATGGTCTACGATCTCTTGACCTCGTGATCCACCCGCCTTGGCCTCCCAAAGTGCTGGGATTACAGGTGTGAGCCACCGCACCCGGCCAATTTTTTTTTAATTTCTATGCTTCATTTTCATTTTTCTCAACATAAAACGTAGCTAATTAAAACATTTTTTGGGTGTGTGTAGAGTGGGGGGGGTCTCACTACATTGTCCAGGCTGGTTTCAAACTCCTGGCCTCAAGCAATCCTCCCTTCTCTGCCTCCTAAAATATTGAGATTACAGGCGTAAGCCTGTCTGCCCTTAATGGCTGTAAATCAGTGTTTTAATTGCATGTTTAAGTGGCATCACTTCTGGCAGGCGTGTCAGCGTGCCGACCTTCTAGGATGTGAAAATGTGCATCTCTCGTGGACATCATCATCGTCTGCACGACTTGGGTGTGTGGAAGTTTCGTGTACATTACCTGGATAATAGACTCCTCCAGGAACTCCACCAGGAACGGCCCCAGGGACCCCTGAAAGGACACAGGTAGAGTCAGTCCTCCAGGAGCCAGAATGATCAGGTTGGTGCAAGAGTAACTGTGGTTCTGCCGTTACTTTCACTGGAAACAAGAATGACGCTGACGGCGATCATGACTCTGCTTGTCTCCAGGACAATTTCTATTTACAAAGGGAGCTCTCATTCTTGCTCTCTGCAGTGGGCCTGTGAAGTTGGAAGCGCAGAGCTTACTATCATGACTCTTTTTTTTTTTTTGAGACTGAGACGGAGTCTTGCCCTGTCCCCCAGGCTGGAGTACAGAGGCATGATCTCAGCTCACTGCAACCTCCGCCTCCCAGGTGCAAGTGATTCTCCTGCCTCCGCCTCCTGAGTAGCTGGGATGACAGGCGTGTGCCACCACGCCCGGCTAATTTCTGTATTTTTAGTAGAGACTGGGTTTCACCATGTTGGGCAGGCTGGTCTCGAACTCCTGACCTCGAGTGATCCGCCTGCCTCGGCCTCCCAAAGTGCTGGGATTACAGTGTGAGCCACCACGTCCAGAGACTATCATTTTAACAGACATGAAATCAGGCTCAGAGAGGTTAAGGGACATGCCTGGGGCCACACAGCTGTAGAGAGATGGAGCCTGGATCCAAGCTTAGGCCAGTCCTTTATTTTTGAGATGGTCACTCGCTCTGTGACCCAGGCTGGAGTGTAGTGGCTCGATCTCAGCTCTATGATCTCTGCCTCCTGGGTTCAAGCTATTCTCCTGCCTCAGACTCCCAAGTAGCTGGGACTACGGGCATGCACCACCATGCCTGGTTAATTTATTTTTCTGTAAAGACGGGGGTCTCAGTATGTTGCCCAGGCTGGTCTTGAACTCCTGGGCTCAAGCTGTCCTCCTGCCTTGGCCTCCTGAAGCGCTAGGATGACAGGCCCCTGTGCCCTGCTTCCAGTCCTTTGAGTATGATGGTTCTCGCTGTGTTACCTGGTTCTCCCTGGAGTCAGGGAGGAGCCTGGGGCAGGAGACACTGGGTCTGAGCGCCTCTCACCAGGCAGCCCAGTCTCTCCCGGAGCCAAGCCACCGGGTAGAGGCCAGAGCTTTGGGAAGGGCAGGCCGGGCTGCCACAGCGAGCATTGAGGAGGCACAGCTGCCAGCACAAATGTAGCCATTCCCACACTGATAGGACGGCGTGAGGTCAGCGTCCTCAGCCACTGGGCAGCCGAGCTTGGGTGGGGCTCTGGCCGTCTGACACAAGCTGTCTTAGGAGGGGCCAGGGCCGCAGGGGGACGCCGTGAATGAGCACAGTGAATAGTTTCCTAAGGAAAAGCGAATTCACCGGCCAGGCAGGATCACGAGTTCAGTCCCCATGGACCAGTGAAGCTCTCGCTGGGGAACACCGTGATGCTGGCTCCAGACCCTGCCTGAGCCGTTGCCATGGCAACAGACCCGGTCCCAAACCGGGGCCCTGGCTCCACCTCACCAGGCCCCCCTCTGAGCTTGACAAGCCACCTTGCCAACGCCCCAGCCCTGCCCTCCCTCGCTGCTTTTGCTGAAAGGGGCTGGGAGCCCCATGGGGCATGGGTGGAGCTCAGGGACCGTGTCTGGCAGATCGGCAGTGTGTCCAGGGAGGCCTCGCGGCGAGACGTCTGGCCTCCGAGGCCTGACGATGCTGCACAGCTGGGCTTGCTGGCCTCAGGGCCCTGTCAGCCTCAGCTGCAGCCCAGCAGGGTCGGGGCTGCGGAGCTGTCACAGGCACCCCGTGCCAAGACCCCAGTGCCACCCCCTCCCGACTTGTGGTTTTCCAGGCCCTGCAATCCAGGCCTGAAGTGTGCAAGTAATCTGGTCAGAACCTCGAGGCTCGGAGCAGTGGCCCCACGGGGGCTGGGCCTGCTGGGAAGGAGCACTTGCGCCCTGTCATCCACTGCCAAGTGCACACATGGCCGCCTCGGGCCTCTGATGCCTTCTCTGGCTTCGGCCTCCAGCTTTCAACAGTCTCTTACGTGCCTTTCTCTGCCTCGGCTTCTCCTTCCTCCTCTTTCTCCCCGCTCCCTCCTTCTTCACGTCCCTCTGTTCCTTTCTCTCTAATCTCTGGCTCCAGAGCAGACTGCACGGAACAGTGTGATGGAGGTGGGGGGAAGAGTAAGGCGCTCAGGACAGACCCCTCTGGCTTCTAATTCTGGCTTTGCTGCTTCTTACCAGCTGTGTGACCTTGGGCAAGTCACTCAACCTCTCTGAATATCGGTTTCCTTTTTTGTAACAGGAGGCAGATAATCACTTGGTTGCTGCAAGGTTGCCAAGAACGGTTCAAGTAACGGGCCGGGTCCTCTTCGGGACCTGGCACACAGTCACCAAGAACGGTTCAAGTAACGGGCCGGGTCCTCTTCGGGACCTGGCACACAGTCATTGCTCAAAGATAAAAAGGCAGTGGCCCTTACATTTTGTTTTTCCATGTCACTGCACGGTCCATTGCCCAGGGCCAGGTATACAGGAGTCACTCAATACATGACGGGTGAATCACGTGGAGAGGAGGCAGGGAGGTTGTCTGTGGGTCCGGCTCTAATCTTCATCCCCATCTGCCCTAGGGGTCCCCCTGCCTCGGGCTTGTTGAGGCTCCGGGCCTGGCTGAACCTGACTTGCTTTCTCCTGGGGTTCTGCCCTCCCACACCCCAGGAGTTTTTTTGGGGGAAGACTCGGCTTTCCCTCCCCCAGCTCTCCTCCGTCCTCACTCTCCACTGTTCAGATCCTGATGGTGGTGGCATCTGCCAAACTTCACGCCTGAACCGTGAGGGCCTGGGGAGCCCGAGATTTTAATCCCCATTTTGCAATGAGGAAATGGAGAAGATGTAGGGGCTGCAAAGGATTCCTGTCTCTCTGCAAGCACAGAGAGGTGGGAATGCAAGTAGACAGCAGCTGGACATTGGAAAGGCCTCTGGAAAGGGAACCAGCCTCTTCCCCATACCCCCCGGGGCATCCTCACCTCTCCCTCTGCTCCTTGGCACAAGCCGTTTCTCTCGCCAGGAACGTCCTCGCCTCCGTCCAAGCCCTACCCTTGCACCAGGGCTGAGCTGAGATCTCCCGCCTGCCTTTCCCGAGCCTGTGGCTCTCCCTGACTGCGCTGCTCAGCTGGCGCTCAGCAGTTGGCCTGGAGAATGCTTGTCTTGTTTTATGTGGTTTTGGCATGTTTCACCGACTAGCCCAGGGTGGAACTTGTCTCTCGCATCTTAGAATCACGATCCTAGACTCTCAGGGATCATAATAGTCTTCTGGCCTGGGCTGGACCTCCCTCCGCAAACATCCTTCGTGCTCTGCTTGCATACCTCCCATGACGGGAAACTCACCACCTCCCGAGGCTGTTAGCACTGCCTGCAGATGGGGTTCCTCCGCTCAAGAAGGAGTCTGCTTTTCTGTCTCTTCGGTTCTGCCTCCTAGATCCTGTGAGTGTGAGACTTACCCCTCATCCCCGGACTGCCCCTGCCACATTTACCTTTCTTTCTTATTTATTGATTTTTAAATGTTTATTTATTTATTTTTAAAATAGAGACAGGGGCCTCCCTTATGTTGCCCAGGCTGGTCTCAAACTCCTGGGCTCAAGTGATCTGCCCACGTGGGCCTCTCAAAGTGCTGGGATTGCAGGCATGAGCCACTGCATCTGGCCCCGTTTACTTTTATGTTGAGGTCTAACTCTAATGTCACCTCTGTTGGGAAGCCTTCCTGGATTTCCCCACGCTCCTTCTGGCCACTCCCAACCCTGTCCTGTCTGCCTCTTTTATCACTGCACATCTATTTACATGTGAGCTGCCTCCCCACTAGACACAACCTGGCGTAAGTATCGAGAGGGAGACTGAACCCTTATTGATGTGAACTAATTCAAGAATCGAGAGCCCAAATGAGCAGACTCTGAATAAGAGAAGAAATTGTTTTAAAAACGCCCATCCCCACGGTCATTTTTTTGGATGCATTTTTTTCCCCCAGATATTACATTGCTGGAACCTCTCATTGGCCCTAGGAGATACTTCAGGCAGGGATGTTTCTTCCCATTTTGCGGTTGGGGAAACGGAGAATCAGTGAGCCGTAGTAGTGCCTGGTCTGGGACCCCCAGCTGACCCCAAGTCTCATGTAGGGCTGTCTGCCCGGGCCCTGGGCTCCAGGTTCAAAGAGCTGGGAGCGGGCTGTTTGGGAGCGAGCCTGGGGCCAGCCGGCCTTGGCAAGGGGCTTTGCCAAACCGAAGTCCAAGGGGCCGGCTCAGGGAGCAGATAAGACCACACGGAGCTGTTTGTTGTTTGTGTGCAGAAGGCTGCCAAAGGTTTTTGAAAAACAAGCTGTCCTCTACTCGGTGCCTGTGTCCCCTCCCACACAGGGCACATTCGCCCTCATGCCGGGGACCAGCAGACAGACATAGGGAGCGGGATCAATCTCCAAACCCCTGCTGTCTGCCCGGGCGACCCACCGTCACTGGGGAGCTTGAAAAGGCTCCGAGTCCAGGTCCCTCCGTAAGCAAAGCAAGCAGGGGTTCTTGGGGGGGACTCTAGTAGATAGCTGGCTTGGAAACTCCTGTTCCTATGTAGGGACAGGGGAAAAAAATATTTAAAAAGAGGCGGTGGCTCATGCCTGTAATCTAAGCACTTTGGGAGGCTGAGGTGGGAGGATCAATTGAGCCCAGGGATTCAGACCAGCCTGGACAACACCACGAGACCCCGTCTCAATTAAGGGGAAAAAAGAAAGGGAAAAAAATAAAAATAAAAAAAGGGAAATAAAAGAAAAGGAAACCCCTGTTTTAAACTATCTTTAGTTCTGAAATCAGAAAACAAAAACAAAAACAAAAATCTCTGATCCTATTTCTGGGGAATGGGGAAGAATTATACCTGCGTTAATTTCTCATGATCACTTTTGAAACAGGGTGGGGGCTGGGTCGCTTGTCCCCTCCTCCTGCTCCCCCACCCTGCCCCCAAGAGGGTCCCTTGGAGATGGGGAACTTGCATAAATGACACCCTCCTCTTTGAGGGAGAAGCCAGGCTTCCCCAGGGCAGCCAGGTGAGGGGCAGTGACGTGTGACTGAGCGCCCCACTGCCCGTTCGGCTCCCTGACCTCTGCAGACTTCAGTAGGACGTCTGTGCAAAACCCCAGAAGAGCCCATCAGTTCACATACCCCTTATTTGGACCTCGAAAGTCCAGCCACCTGGGACAGAGCTGAGATTGATCCCTGCAAAGAGCCAGGCCAGCTGGGCATTTAGCAGTGTCGCTGAGGACACGGGCAAGGGCTGATTCCGCCCAGGGCATGCCCGCTATAAAGGACCGGACTGAGCCCCACGCCTTTCCCAAATGCTGCCTGCTAGCTGGCTCCTGACCCCCTCGCCCTCTCACCTGGGGCAGAGAGTTGACTGACACTAACCTCCCAGGGACTGTCATAGCCTGCCAGAGCCTCAGTTTCCTTGTTTGTCAAGTGAGGATAATCATTTCTCACTCCCAAGTTTCCTTGATGATGAGCTGCCACCCTATAGGCGGTGGCCCCATCTGGGAAGGCGGGTGGCTGGGTGTTTGGGGGTACACCTGGAGAGGAGGCTGAGACAGACCCGGGCTTTCAGACCTGGCTTGTTGCCCCTGCCACGCCCCACCTGTTGGTACCCATGTCCCTTGGTCTCGCCTAGGTCTAGCAGCAGGCTCTGAACAGGAAGACCGTCCAATCTCACGGAAACAGCTGCAGCTCCTGCCCGGGCCCCTGACTCCGCCCTGTGGCCCCCTGTCCCCTACTCAGTGCCTGGTTCTCATGGCAAAGAGGATGCCCAAAGAAATCAGACCCCCCCAGACCCCCCTACCAAATACCCTCCTCTTTCCCATGCCTGGGGAGCATCTTCGGTGTCCCCCAGTTGTCCACGGCATAGCAGCCCCGCAGAGGGCACCCTCAAACCCCATCACCAACTGGGCCTGGGTTGGGGTACATAGCAGATGCCCTAGCGTCAAATAGCGGAGCTCTGACTTTCCTCACGGGGGATCCCGGCTTCCCAGGGAGTCAAGGAACCTGCTGAGGTCACACAGCTCACTGCGGCTGAGCTGGTCTCAAACCCAGGTCCCCTGTCCACACGGACACACTGCCTCTGCCAGGACACAGATGCCTTCTCCAGCCTGCCTTTTCCTGCTTGCATGCCACATCACACACACAGATGCTCACACCCCATCACACACACAGTGACAATCTGCACCTGTGCCACACCTGTAGGCCAGATCACCCGTGTCTGCATGCGCACACGTCTACCTGTCTGTCGGTGGCAGACTTTCCCACCACATCACACACACAGATGCTCACGCCCCATCACACACACAGTGACAATCCGCACCTGTGCCACACCTGGAGGCCAGATCACCCGTGTCTGCATGCGCACACGTCTACCTGTCTGTCGGTGGCAGACTTTCCCACACACCAAGGAGCAGCTTCACGTGCCTCCCCAAAACATACACACACCTGTCTAAGGATGGACCCCTGAGCAGACCCTTCCAGTGACATAGCCGGCATCTGCACACATGCACACCTGTGCACTCACATATATACACACGAGCAATAGTTCCTGTGCATGCGCGTGCACACACACGTACGCACATGCGCGCGCACACACACGTACGCACACACGCATACCAGGAGTCCCCACCCTCCTCAGCAGGGAGAACACAGCAGCAGCTTTCCAACCTGCAAACCCATCATCAGTGGAGCCCTGACCTTCCTCACAGGGGATCCTGGCTTCCCAGGGAGTCAAGGAACCTGCTGAGGTCACACAGCTGACGGTGGCTGAGCTAGTCTCAAGCCCAGGTCCCCCGGCCCCAGGGCCGGTGCGTACACACCCAGCTGTGTCCACAGGTGTGCAGACTGTGGTGCCTCCAGACCCAGGGGTTCCCACTGGGCCCTCCCCCAGGATGCTCTGATCCCCCCACGGGGCAGGCACCTGAGTGGGGACCCCTCAGCCCTCGAAGAGCAGCAAAGCCTGGACACCGGGTTGGGACTATTCTGAGTCAAGGGGGTGTTTGGCAGGTTCCTGCTGGGCATAGGGCTGGCTCCTGGACGGGCAGTTCCGAGGACCCAGTGGCCGAGGGGCTCCCACCTGGGACCCCTTGGAGGACCCAGGGGTGAAGGTCTCCCTCTTATGCGTCCAGTCACCTGGCCCAAAGGGCCCGCGGCTGTGGGCAGCGCTAGGGACGGGGCGAGGGGCCCTTACCTCCAGGCCGAGAGGGGTGGAGGATCGACAGCAGGAGCAGGAGGACTCCGGGCCACGGGACTGCCGCCGTCAGACCCGCCATCTCGGGGAGAAATGCCCCAGCCCGCTCTCTGCACCTCGTTTTATCCCCAAAGCCTAATTGCTGCCTCGTCGGCTGCGAGGGAAGGAGGGAGGGAGAGAGGGCGGGCGGGAGGGCGGGAGAGGGGGGAGGCCTGGGGGAGGGGGCCGCGGGGAGGGGACAATTACGAAAGGCCGGGCTCACAAGCCTCCCGGGCTCGGGCTGCTGGACTGCGGGCTCTTTTCCTTGACACACACACGCACACACATGCACACAAGCGCACACTCACACACACACACTTTCCCCCATCTCTTTCCCGCTTTCCCTCTGCGACTGTTCTCTCGCTGCTGGCCCTGCTCCCGCCAGAAAGTGCGAGGGGGGCCCCTGCCAGGACAGCCCTCGGGAGAGGAAGCGGGAGGGAGGGCCTGGCGGCCCGGCCAAAAATCCCAGCCCCAGCCAAGGCCCGAGTGGCCAGGCTCCCGCCCCTCCGGCTGGGCCCCGGGCCCAGTGTGGGGACACAGGCCAGCTGTCCCGCGCCTCGGCCCCCACCCCGGCCCTCCAGACTCCCCAACACCCCCAGGCCTGGCTAGAGACAGGTTCTGCCCAAAGCTGGGGAGGGGAGGTATTGGGCAGGTCTGGGTTTTCCTGGGGTAGGGGGGGCAATGTCTGCAGAGGTCAGGGGGCTGCAGGTTGATTGGCCTGGAAGGTAGGATCAGGATGGGATTGCTCTGGGAGGGACCCAAGGGGTGGTAGGGGACCCTGGACAGGGCTGCATTTTGCAGGGGCCAAGGTCTCAGCCTCCTGCCTGAAGCTGGGGCCGAGGTGTTGGGTCTAGGGTGGATGCCTGCAGGGGCCAGGGGGCTAGAGGCAGGGGAATGGCCTGGGAGTTAAGGCCATGTCGGTGCTGTTCCCGGGCATCTGGAGCACAGGGAGGATCCCGACACTCAGGGTTCTATTCTGCATAGGTCAAGGTCACAGCCCTATACCCCGCCCCATGCAGGCCTCAGGGGCTGGCACAACTCAGGCTGGATCCCCAGGTGCCCTGTGGGGGAACGGGGAGGTGGGAGCCCCCTGCAGACTGAGAGGCAGCCTGGCTTCCCGTGATCACTGGGTCACCTCCCACCCCCACGCTGAGCACGGTTAGCGCCCAGATCAGCCTGGGAGCTTCTGGACTGCTGTTCTCTGGCGCCTCTGGGAAGGCTCGGAGCTGACATTCCTCTGGTGGCCAGGAGGGGGCGACCTGCATTAAAACAGCTGGGACCGCATTCCTGGAGGACTGTGCATTTCTGCTCCCAGGACTGAGCTGGACCAGGACCCTGGGGAATTTTGGGGGTTGGAATGTGTGGTCGTGTCCCCCACCCTTCACTTCCCACTATTGCTAGTGGGAAAGAAATGTGAGACCCAGAGAATAGGAGAGGGAAACTTGCTGGTCCTAGGTCACAGCCCGTCAGGGGTCAGCATGGAAGCCACATGCTCCGTGGGCTTTTCCCTGAAGCATGGTGGCTCCAAGGGATGGGTTGAAGGCTCGTTGTGCAGCCAGGATCACTGTTGCAGTCTGCAGTGCCAGCAGGGGTGGCCCTGAGTGGAAAGGTCAAATGCAGGCACTGGTGGACCCAGAAGTAAATTTCTGGCTCTCGCCTTTCTAGTGGGATAACCTCTCCACAGAGCGTCAGTTTCCTCATCTGTCTAAGGGTGATCCACACTCCTAGCTAAGAGATTACTGCAGAGGCAAATGCACTGTGGTCCTGTATTTCTGCTAGATCAAGGATGCTCTGTGTTCAGCCGGTACTGGGACTGTATGAATACCAGGGCTGCCATCACTCGTCCTGGAAGAGCGGCTCTTGTTTCTAGGACACCTATCAGGCTTTGGTCTATACGGGGCCACCCCAGGACCCCGGACAAACCCTTCCCTTTCCTGGGTCTTTGGAGGGAGCAGCTCTGTAATTTTGGAAGTTGGGGACGCACCAGGAGAATTGTCTTGAAGATGTACACAGGCAGCCCGTGCACGGCTGTCACTTATGGTATGTGTTTATTCGGGGGTGCTTTGAGGGTAGCTGATGAAGATTGTGCTGGGGTGAAAGCCCCACCCCAAGCCAGCCTTTGTTGGTGGGGGTCGGGCTGCCCAGGGGCAGGGTCTGAGGCTCGACGCCCGGGATGTGTCTGCTGAAGGGGAGGGGAAGTCAGTGGTGTATCTGCGGGTCTCTCACTTCCTGGGAAGGAGGAAGGCAGGGGGTGCTGTGGGGAGCTGGACCCCTTTTCTCTTGAGGCAGTGACGTGGGCAGGAACCAGCTTTCAGACTTGCAAACCGCAGTCTGCACAGAGTCTTTATTAATTCCAGGACGGGGAGAGTCCGGAGCCAGGGGGAGAGAGCTTGCAGTGGGGGGATCCAGGAGGGTTGTGGAGGGGCCCTCACAGGGATAGACTTGAGGTGGCTGGAACTGACCTCTCCCCCGGGGCCCGGGGCCCTGCGTCCTGTCTCAGCCTGAGCACTGCTTCTGCTTAGCAGCCTCTGCAGGAGTTCCGCGAACATACATGCAATGAGACTGCACACATGCAATCAACTGTACATCAAAAGGGGCCTCAATTCAGAATCGAATCCATTGTACTGAATATCCGTGCTGTGTAGCCCAGTGCACACAATACATAATGTAAGGACTGGAGATGACAGTCATTGGCCATAATTCATTCATTCATTCATTCATTCATTCAAGACCTCATCAGTGCTCAACGGTGTGGTGCCCCCTCGTTGCCTAGCTGTACGCCTGACTAAGGTCACACATGCAAAACTGCCCACAGAGGGCTACTGGGTGCACTCGGCTGCCTGGGGAGCTCCGGTTTCGCTATTTTCATCGACAAGCCTCACCTGCTTGTTGCCTGGCTCAGTGCTACCAAGGGGCAACAGCCGAGTCACCCACAGGCCATCTCTGTCTTCCAGCTCCTCTCGGCGCATCCATTTTGGAAGGACAGACTTTCCAGCCTCTGGAGAGCTCTGAGAATGTCATTGCTTTGCTCAGACGCCCTCACTTTGTCTGAGCAAATCCAGACAAAGTTCAGATTTTTTTTTTTTTTTTTTTTTTTTGAGACAGAGTCTCGCTCTGTTGCCCAGGCTGGAGTGCAGTGGCGTGATCTCGGTTCACTGCAGATTGTGCCTTCTGGATTCACGTGATTCTCTTGCCTCAGCCTCCCGAGTAGCTGGGACTACAGGCATGCACTGGCATGGCTGGCTAATTTTTGTATTTTTAGTAGAGACGGGGTTTCACCATGTTGGCCAGGCTGGTCTTGAACTCCTGACCTCAGGTGATCTGCCCGCCTCGGCCTCCCAAAATGCAGGGATTACAGGTGTGAACCTGAGCCACCAAGTCCAGCCCCTCCTCTGATCTTAAATTTAATAGTAGCCATATAAAATAAAACATAATTAATACTATTCTCAATAATATATTTAACACAACATATTTAAAGTATAATCCTTTCGACGTGAAATCAAAATAAAAATTATTGAGATATTTTGCATTCTGTTTTTGTACCAAGTCTTGAAACTGGTGTGTATTTGACGTCAAGCGTGGGTCTCAGTTTGGACTTGTCACATTTCAAGTGCTCCATCTGCCACACGTGGCCAGCAGCCGCCGCCGGGGACAGCACTGGCTTAAACCGTAAGAGGATTGGCGAGATGAGCTGGTCTTAGTTCTGATATTCCTGGAGCGGGAATCTGGATCCTGCTATGCAGAGGTTCAAGGTGGGACGGGCCCTGGGGACAGGGGAGAGGGACAGAGAAGGAGGGGTGTCCTTGCTTGGGGGTGGGCAAGGGGCATCCGTAACAAGCAGTCCCAAAGGAGAGTCCCTGCCTTCGTGCTGGTGATCGAGCCAGAGAGGGCGGCCACCTACTGTGGCCCAGAGCCAGCACCTCAGCTGGAAAATGAAAGGGACCTCTGCAGCTCCTCTCTTCCCAGAGGCCCCCGGGGACCCCTCAGACGGCCAGCCAGGAAAAGAAGGTGTCTGGTGCAGGTGTCAGACTTTTCTGGAGGTAAAAGGGACTGCAGCCGAGAATAGCTCGAATGCCATGGGCCTGGGCCTGGTTGTCACTTCATCACACAGAGTCAGCCCCAAAGAGGGACAGGCTGTGCTTCGAGGGGGTGTGTGGGACGTTGGGGGAGGGAGGCTGGGACTCTTCAACACGGTGCTTCTGTGATCCCCAAGGCTGGGAGTCGGTTCGGAAGGGTCAGCAGTCAATGTTGTGGTTGTGATGGGAACTAGTGTGTAAGCTTGGCTGGATTACCTAATAATAGCGAAGGATGGTGACATCAACTGTAATTAACCCCTAGAATCCCTGGTTTTGTCCTAGGACGGCAAGAATCTTCATGACCACTTAAGAGTCCACACATATCTGTAAGAATTGGGTATACAGCAAGTGCTCAAAATGGGAGGGGGTCCGTGGCACCATTTCAGGCCACTGATGGTGGCTGGGTAGGGGGTGGGGTACAGGAGGAAGCCCTATCCCTGTGAGTGCTGCCACCTGCAACCTCTGGCCGTGCCGAGTTTCGTCTGAGCCCAGGGCGTTTGTGTGTCTGAGTCATTTCTCAGTCTGGATCTCTGGCCAGCCTGAGCCGGGAGTGGGGAGGTGGGTGTCCCGGATGGGCTGTTCCGCCCTGTGCTGTTCACGGGCTGTCTGTTGCCATCTGGAGGGGAACATCATGAGCCGGGCCCGCTCTGCGCACCCCCTTCCCATGGGACCCGGGATGGAGGAGTCCAGAGCACGCCTCGTTTGCTTGATGCTTCACTGTTTACAAAGCTCATTTCCATTCTCAATGGGGGATATTATTATCCCGGTTCACAGGGTTAGAAGGGTTAGGAGCCCTGTCTACAAACTCGGGCCACCAGAAACAGCATCTTGGTGTCTTCCTCAGACCCGTTTAGTTAAATTTAAGCCAATATCACACGGGTAGTGGCAGTGAATTCATCCCAGCTGCTGGGTCTGTCTCCCCCGCCCCCACTCCCCACCAAAATCCAGGCATCTTAGGGCGGGCCTGGAGATAATAGGGGTCCTGCCTCCCTCCCCCTGACCCCCTTGTTGGAGCCTGCATGCTCCTGTGTACTCCAAGATGGTGCTGGAGTCTTGCTGAGGCTGGAAGAGCTCAGGGCTGGACCGCCTCCGGAAACGCTTCCCAGGGAGTGCACCTGCAGGACATTCTGTGATCTCCAGGCTGGCGGGAGACCTTCCCAGGCTAGGGTACTGGCTCCCAACTCAAAGGTGACTTCAGGCTGCTTTTCGCCTGCAACCTGGGGAGCTGCTTGGGAAGTGGTGAGAGGGAGGGTGGACAAGCACACATACTCATGACTCAAGAAACTATCCTGCTACACAGGTGAGGAAGCACGTGACCGGAGCAAGGTCACCCAAAGGCACGGTGACCTGGAGCTCAAGCCTCTGGGGCATCTCATTCCTCCAGCCACACGGCTCTAGGGTGGAGCGATGGTCGCCGCTGCAAGGTCGGCTCAGCACCTGGAAAGCAAAGCCTTCCCTTCCCTGGACTGGACACGCAGTGGGACCCGGGGCTGAGCCGCCTGCTCCCGAGCCGGCTCTGGGAACCAGTGGGCAAAGCTGCTGCGGCTCTCACCCCACCCAAGCGACCTCCCTGTCATCCTCATCTCCCTGGCGTCCCGCAGCCCTCCGTGCTCAGGAGCCCTTCCAAGTGCGGAGCCGGGAACACTGCCGGGTGTGGGGCGCTCTCTTCCTCCCGGTTTTGCTGGTCTCCATCCCCACACCACGTTCAGCTGCTCCCCGCCCTGGGCAGAGCCCTCCACCCATGCCCGGAACCCTCAGCTGGCCTGATCCCTGTGGCGCCAGGCGGGTCCCGCAGGGCGGGCAGGGCAGCTGCCAGGATGCTGGGTGGGAGGCAGGCGAGGCTGGGCCAGGGGCTCCCACTGGGCCTGGGGTGATCCACTCCCTTGTTCATTCTGTTCTTCACATTCCTGAGCAGGGGGAGGGGAGACAGACAGACAGGACACCAGTACCTGCGGTCCTGGGAACGGAGGGTCAGAGCCTCCAGCGGGAGGGGAGGCAATCAGGAAAGCTTCCTGGAGGAGTCAGTGCTGCCGGAGCTGAATCCCGTTCCTGTGTCCCAAAGGGAGTTGCTTTTCAGGTGGTACACACAAAAGCAGGAAGGCTGAAGGCAGCCCTGACCGGGCACCCGGCCTTTGTCCGCCCGCCCTCCCACACGGCCGCCTGCAGGGAGCATCTGAGAGCACAGACCCCACGTGTCCCTGCCCTGCTTAAAGCCCGCCAGTAACAGACTGTCGGAGGATGTTGGCCCTTCCTACTAGGCCCAGGCCACCTTCAGGGCTCCCGTGAAGGGCCTTCACTCAATCAGCACTTTTCAAATTTCAGGTTGTGACCCATTAGTGGGGCTTGAAATCACATTAGTGGGTCAGGAACAGCATTTTAATTTAATTAATTTATTTATGTATCTAGAGACAGGATTTCACTCTGTCACCCAGGCTGGAGTGCAGTGGCTTGATCTCCGCTCACTGCAACCTCCGCCTCCTGGGTTCAAGTGATTCTCCCACCTCAGCCTCCCAAGTAGCTGGGATTACAGGCGTGTGCCACCGCGCCTGGCCAGGAATGGTGTTTTCAGATGGGATGCAATGTTATAGACTAGAATGAAGTGAAATAAAATGGAACAGAACAGAACAGAATAGAATAAATGTGATTGATCAGACTCGGCACTGTCTCTTGCACTTTTTATCTTTCCTTCTTTCTTTTATCTTTTGAGACAGGGTCTTGCTCTGTTGTCCAGGCTGGAGTGCAGTGGTGCAATTATAGCTCACTGCAGCCTCGAACCCCTGCACTTAAGTGCTACTCCTGAGTAGCATGTCACCACATCTGGCTAATTTTTTAAGTAATTAATTATTATTATTATTTTGAGGCAGTCTCACTGTGTCGCCCAGGCTACAGTGCAATGGCTCGATCTCAGCTCAGTACAACCTCTGCCTCCCGGGTTCCAGAGATTCTCCTGCCTCAGCCTCCTGAGTAGCTGGGACTACAGGCATGCGCCACCATGCCTGGCTAATTTTTCGTGTTTTTAGTAGAAACGGGGTTTCATAGTGTTAGCCAGGATGGTCTTGATCTCCTGACCTTATGATCTGCCTGCCTTGGGCTCCCAGTGCTGGGATTATAGGCGTGAGCCACTGTACCTGGCCAATTAATTATTTTTTTTACAAAAATAGAAGCAGGGTTTCACTGTTACTCAGGGTGGTCTCAAACTCCTGGCCTCAAGTGATCCTCCTGCCTCAGCACAATTCCAGGCGTGAGCCATGGCCCCCAGCCTGCCCCTTTGTGTGTTCACATGTGTGTACCGGTTTTCTGCTCAGCACTGTCAAAGTCTAAAAGGCATGGTTGCCATGACTGTTTATACATCACTCACTCCGTCTTCCCTGAGGGCTGTTGTCGTTCCTATGGCAGGCATCTGCAATGCAGCTGAGTGAATGTGTGAGTGAGTAGGGGTGCGGGGAGACCCCGATTGCTACACAGCTCCCTAGCCCCCTTGGTGGTCATGGGTCAGGCTCCTGCCAAGCAGGTAAGAGCTGGGTGCTGGGGTCTTCGGCCCCCAGTGGGTCAGGTGGGGTCATGATTCTCAGGTGGGACGGTGTCCACTCCTGGCCCCATAAGCCCTCCAGACTCCCAGGAGGACAATCAATAGGTTCAGATCCTCAGAATCCCAAGGACAGGGCCAGGCACGGTGGCTCATGGCAGCACTTTGGGAGGCCATGGCAGGTGGATCGCTTTAGATCAGGAGTTCAAGACCAGCCTGGCCAATATGGTGAAACCTTGTGTTTACCAAAAGTACGAAGACTAGCTGGACATGGTGGTGCACAACTGTAATCCCAGCTACCTGGGAGGCTGAGATGGCGCCGCTGCACTCCAGCCTGGGCAACAGAACAAGACTCTCTCTCTCTCTCTCTCTCTCAAGAAAAAAAAAAAAGTCATGTTCTGAGGTCCTGGGGGACTCAGAGGACTTCAACATGTCAACTTCGGGGTGACCCATTCAGCCCATAACAGCGGGCTTGCGGGAACCTGGGAGAGGGATGGGACCTCCTCCTGCCTCCCAGCCCCAAGCCCAGGAAGGGAATCTTCTGGAGCAAGGTCCTAGATGCCCCGATTCTTTTCTCCACCATCGACACGCTCATTGCAAACCTTCCCTTGCCCTCTCCCGAAAGCGGACCTCCCGGGTTAGGTTTGCTCCAGCCCGGGCTGGAAGGGTGGGTTTGCCGAGTTGTGGGTCCCTCCCAGAGTCGTATTCAAAATATCCTCATTAGGAGAAAAGCCAGCACTGACTTCTCAAGAGGTCCTTCTCGGTTACCCGGCGTTACTAGGTGGTCTGAGTGTGACGCCTGGTGAGGGGCCTGTGACTGTCCCTGGCCCTTTCTTTGTCTCAGGCTGGGTCATCTACTCTTATTCCATCAGCCCAGATTGGTGGGAGCCCTGGTCTCTCTACCCTGAACTGTGTATGGGAATTCACTGGTTTAAAGAAAAAAATCCACCTGAAGGTGATAATGGGGGTTAGGGCAGGGGGTCAGGCAGAAGCAGTGCCAGATGGGGTCAGTCCAGGAGGGCTTCCCGGAGGAGGAGCTGAGACACGGCTGTAGCTTTCAGCCTGAACCTCCCTCCTGACCGCTGTCAGGCATCATGCTAGAAACCTGTATCACAGTCACTGGTTTAATCTCCAAACAAATGGGGCGGTGCTGTTTATCCTCCTCTATTGTTTTCCTTTTTAGATTGATTCTTGCTCTGTCGCCCAGGCTGGAGTGCAGTGGCATGATCTCAGTTCACTGCAACCTCTGCCTCCCAGGTTCAAGTGATTCTTCTGCCTCAGCCTCCCAAGAAGTTGGGATTACAGGCACCGGCCACCATACCCGGCTAATTGTTGTATTTTTAGTAGAGATAGGCTTTCACCATGTTGGCCAGGCTGGTCTCGAACTCCCAACCTCTAGTGATCTGCCTGCCTTGGCCTCCCAAAGTGCTGGGATAACAGGCGGGAGACCCCGCCCCGGGCTCCCAGTGTGATCTGAACTTTCATTTCCCCGATGAGTAATGATGGTGAGCACTTTCTCACTTGCTTTTCAGGCGTGCAATTATCCTCGTTTGTGACGTGACTTTTTACATCTTACCCACATTTTCGAAAATGGGATCCGTTTTACCGTTCACAATTAGGTCCGTGATCTGCGTTGAGGCAGAGCACTTTAAATCCCTGCCTACCCTCGCCCTTCCCAAAGTGTGGTGGTCCCGGCGCTTAGAAAACACTCTTCCCTCCTGGGTCGCCAGCTGCACGGCCTCTTTCGAGGGCCCCAGCCCTTCCTCCAGGCCCTGGAATTAATAAAAGCTCTGAGCTGCCTGTGGTTTTCAGGCTGAGAGCTGGTTCCAACGTGTGCTAGGATTCAGGCAGCAAGCTGGGGGCCACCATCCTTTCTCCATGTGGGTTTTTGTGTTCCCCTTCCTGGTGGGGGAGAGGCTCATCGTTCACAAAACTCTGAGAGTCCCCAGACCAGAATAAAAAAACTCTCTCTTTTTTTTTTGAGACAGAGTCTCACTTTGTCGCCCAACTAGAGTACACTGGCACGACCTTGGCTCACTGCAACCTCCACCTCCTGGATTCAAGCGATTCTCCGGCCTCAGCCTCCTGAATAGCTGGGATGACAGATGCCTGTCACTGCGCATGGCTCATTTTTGTATTTTTAGTAGAGTCGGGGTTTCACCACGTTGGCCAGCTTGGTCTCAAACTCCTGACCTCAAGCAATCTGCGCCCACCTCAGCCTCCCAAAGTGCTACCACGCCAGGCCCAGAATTAGGAATCTTGGCCGGGCGAGGTCGCTTATCCCTGTAATCCTAGCACTTTGGGAAGCTGAGGCGGGCAGATCACTTGATGTCAGGAGTTCGAGACCAGTCTGGCCCGCATGGTGAAACCTCGTCTCCACTAAAAATAAAACAATTAGCTGGGCGTGGGCCTAGAGTCCCAGCTACTCAGGAGGCTGAGGCAGGAGAGTCGCTTGAACCTGGGAGGTGGAGGTTGCAGTGAGCTGAGATCGCGCCAGTGTACTCCAGCCTGGGTGACAGGGTAACACTGTGTTTCAAAAAAAAAAAAAAAAAGAGAGCCTCTTCTCTAGTCTCTTCTTGCTCCGGTTAACCACCCCCCAACCACCGCCCCGCAGCCCAGGCTTCGGCTGCCTCTCTCTCGGCTGGAGGAGCTCATTCCAACCAGGATGGCAGATAAGTTCCATCACCAATCGTGTTTGACGGGCAATGGCCAGCAGAAGTGGTGTTAAGAAGGATTCTGAGGATATCCAGGCGTGGCAGGTGGGAATCACACAGCCAATGGGTCATGTCTGTGGGGAGCAACAGGTGGGCGTGGCCTATACTTGGTGTCTTAAATGACCCTGATCCACCCTAAACCCCTTGTTAGTATTAATCCAAAGTAGAGGGTTGTTTTGTTTTGTTTTTGAGATGGAGTCTCGCTCTGTCGCCCAGGCTGGAGTGTAATGGCACGATCTCTCTCTGCTCACTGCAACATCTGCCTGCTGGGTTCAAGCAATTCTCTTGCCTCAGCCTCCTGAGTAGCTGGAACTACAGGCGCACACTGCCACGCCCAGCTAATTTTTGTATTTTTCGTAGAGATGGGGGTTTCACCATGTTGTCCAGGCTGGTCTCGAACTCCTGACCTCAAGATCCGCCCACCTTGGCCTCCCAAAGTGCTGGGATTACAGGTGTGAGCCACCGCGCCTGTTTAAATGTCACTCCATGGGGGCCGGGCGCAGTGGCTCACGCCTGTAATCCCAGCACTTTGGGAGGCCGAGGCAGGTGGATCACAAGGTCAAGAGATCGAGACCATCTTGTTCAACATGGTGAAACTTTGTCTCTACTAAAAATACAAAAAATTAGCCGGGCACGGTGGCACGTGCCTGTAATCCCAGCTACTCAGGAGGCTGAGGCAGGAGAATTGCCTGAACCCAGGAGGTAGAGGTTTCGGTGAGCCGAGATCGCGCCATCGCACTCCAGCCTGGGTAACAACATCGAAACTCCGTCTCAAAAAAAAAAAAAAAAAAAAAAAAAAAGTCACTTTATGGTACTCAGCCATTAATTAACAGAGATGGTTTGTCTGGGCACAGTGGCTCCACAGTGGCTCACACCTGCAATCCCAGCACTTTGGGAGGCCGATGTGGAAGGATTGCTTGAGGCCAGGAGTTCAAGACCAGCCTGAACAACATAGTGAAACCCCATGTCTACAAAAAAAAACAATGAAAAATTAGCTGGATGTGGTGGTATACACCTGTACTCCAGCTATTTGGGAGGCTGAGGTAGGAGGCTCGCTTGAGTCCAGGAGTGAGAGGCTGCAGTGAGCCATGACCACACCACTGTACTCCAGAATGAGTCCCTGTTTCTAAAAGAAAACAATAATAATAATAAGATGGGTCAGAAGCTCGGCTATTACCCATTTAACAGAAAGGCACTTCCTTGTTTATTCAGCAAATACTAACTTAGCAACTGCTAATTTCTGTCCCATTAAGAATATGGTGGTGAATCCAATCTAGTCTGATGTCTGCCTAGTTCTGTGTTTCTCCCTTGACTCCAGTATTCAATGTATGGACTTAAGGACTCAGCCATCTCACGGGACAGTCATTTCCCAGCAAGCCAGCTGTTCCTGGGGTGGGATTATAGCACAATTTA